ATTATAAACGCTGATATTTTTGCAGCATTTTAATCTCATGGACACCTTATTTAAATAGGGAAAATCAAAACAGAAGCATGTGCTGGAGAGCATGGAACTCTTCCGCATTGCATGCTCTATTGGCGCCACAGGCAGTTTTACCCGGAGGTTTTGTACAAGCAGCGGCCGATATGTACCATAACTGTAAAGAGTAAACGTGAAGGCCTTGGAAGGATCATCTTAAAGTGGGCTAAAAGGGTGTGACTGTATACAAACAGACACCGCGCCGTTTTTTTGCCGTGGAACACTCCGTCTATGTGCATGTTTCTTTGCAAGTATGTGTACATGAGCTGGCTCGAGGGTAGGCAGCTAAGGGAAAATCTATGCAAAATAAGTATTATAAACCTTCCTGCTTTGAGGCTCTTCATTTGCTTTGACAACAGCAGTGGAAAAAATAGTCACCAATCTTTGTGACTGCAATATCTTTGGTCGGACGGTTGAACTAACTCAAGCAACATTGTTATTACTCTCCAAAGTTAATCTGAGAACAATCCCGTCTCTCAGAAACAAGGCAATAGTGTTTTGAGTCCTGCGTCACCTTCTCCTTCTTCAGGTGTCGTGTTCGGGGCAGTGCTGCGGCTGCTGACACAAGCCTCCAGCAAGAGGACACCAGTGGAGAAGGGATTTCCCCAGAAGCGGAGGCTCAGGGGACCGGAGCAGAGCCGACTGTGGCCCCACACACACATGCACAGACACACAACACTCTAGTAGTTGAATAGTTTCGACTAGTAGACCTTCAAACTAGACAAGAATCCCGCATTTTTATTCTTTGTTATTAGGATATACCAAATGGTGCTTTCTTTGTATTTAAGAATGAGTCAACGGTATAAAAACATTTATTTCATAGTTGACTAAAAAGGAATTCTAACTATTACAGCTCCTCTAAAAAATGTATTCATCTTTAAAAACATTACATAATCAAACATATATAATTATTTTGGTGAATTTCTTAGCCATGTTGATTGCAATGGAAAAATACACCTTGAAATCACAAAGAAGCACTGTAGTTATCCATCCATCCATCCATTTTCTACCCTTTAATCCATTTCTGGGTCAGGGGGGTGGCAATCAGAGATGCCACCCAAGTCTCATAGCACCAGCCCCTCACTGACCCTCTGCAGGTGGTGAGTCCACAGGAGGACGGCTGCTCTCTGAGTGTGAGCATAGCCTTGATCTTTCAGTGGGGGCTTTAGGCAAAGTGGGGTTAAGTGTCTTGCCCAAGGACACAACGACAGCAGACATCAGTGGGAGTCGGTGGAGAAGGTGTCGAGGTGGGAATTGAACCCACAACCTTCAGGCCTGAAGGCCAATGCTCTACCAACTGAGCTACTGTCGCCCCATAGCTACTGTCGCCCCACGCTCAATGTTAATTTGACTATTTTAATGCACATGTCAATCAAGATTAAGAAAAGTTGAGATAGCGATTTTTGGCACAGTCCGAGTAGACAAGTATGGTAAACAAAAGCAGCCCTGTAACTAAAACGTTTTAAATGGTTACTAACCCAAAGTATATTGAAAGTATAGAGAGCAGAGGGTGTGCATGCTGTTGTTGTAGTAGTGAAGCAATGGATCAGAGGGACTGAAGCAAAAGGTAAAAATCCTCATTTAAAGCATGGGCTTGCTTCAGATCTCTTGCTTCACCACCCATCAGAGTCTTTGGTATGTGTTTAGCCATGTTTGACCCGCTTCCCTATATGGAACGAATATTTTGAGTGTAATTGAGTCAAATCAATGAGGAGCCCTTCTCACGGCTGACAGGGACCTTTCTACCCGCCCTGTCCTTTCACTGTCGGTTTGTTGATGTGCCGATCACAGGAGTGTCTGAATAAGCTGGACAGACTGCATTCCAGCAAGCTATGGGTTTGCCCTCAACAGTCACTGCAGGAAGTAAGGTGTGGAAATTACAACACGTTTATCTGGAGACTCAAATGTTTCAAGATTACAAGCAGTTGAAGCAGGTTCAAATTGTGCTCTACCTATGATCTCTTGGAGACAGTGATTAGAGCAGCACACAGCCAATCGATACAGTCGTAAAAGTATGATATCTCAAGCCATAATACGAGCCCAGTCAACATTGCTTATACCAATTTATATATATATATAAATAAAGAGGGACAAAACTCCCACTACATTCTGCATTTGTGATCGTAAGCCAAATAAATAAATAAAGCCAAACCAGTCAGGTGAAAGGTGTGAGTCAGCATGAGAAGGTCTTGCTGTGGATCTTAAATTACAGTGGCCTTACAATGGCCTTACTTTGCCATTTCACACGGTTCATACAAATACAATGGAAACTGACGCTTGTTTCTACTTCTTTACTTCAAAAAACATCCAATCAAGGTTGGACAGCGTATCTCCTGCAAATGAAAAATAAGTGGGAATGTCTTCTTGTGTTGGATGATTTATCTACACTAGAGCTGCAACTAACGATTATTTTGTAATCGATTAATCTATCGATTATTTTTACGATTAAACGAGTAATCGCTTGGCTGTGAATTGTGTAGAAAAAATATACTTTTTCATCACAAAAAGCTAAAGTGGCAACACTCGAGGATGTATTGATGGCGTAAACTTAAAGTAAATCTTTGTGCTAATTCTGCTATCTGATTGGATGAGACAGACAGATATTCATGAAATTATAAAAACAAAGTAAGTTTTAATCAAAAATACTACATTTTCATGTCATTTTTGCTCTGTTTGAGTCCGTGTGAACCAGAAAACGATTAATCGATTACTAAAATAGTTGTCGACTATTTCAATAATCGATTAGTCATCGATTAATCGATTAGTTGTTTCAGCCCTAATCTAATAATAATAATAATAATAATAATAATAATAATAATAATAATGCATCGGTTTTATATAGCGCTTTTTTGGACACTCAAAGACGCTTCACATGTGTCATTATTCATTCACTCCATACACGGTGGTGATAAACTACTAATGTAGCCACAGCTGCCCTGGGGCACACTGACAGAAGCGAGGCAACCAGTATGTGCCATCGGCCCCTCCGACCACCACCAACCATTCACACACACACCAGACTCATTCTAGGCAATGGGGGTGAAGTGTCTTGCCTAAGGACATAACGGCAGTTTGGCACTTTACAGCCGCAGCCGCCCCACTGCATCTACACCAAACAATGCCTTATCTGACTTGAATGTTATTGTCTATGAGAAAGCCATGGAACTTGTGCACATCTTTCAAGGGCAATACAAAATTCTTGACATTCATCCTTGCAACTTTCATGTACTTGCTGAGGAGAGTGTGTAGTTAAACAGTACAAAACTTTCTGCTAGGTGAAAAATCACTTTCATAAGTTAAAACCATAGTTAAAATCATTCTAGTATTGGGAATTTACTAGTGAAATACATTTTTGGAAGATTGCAGCCAAGGCACCAACATTTCCATGTAAAAATACAGAAGTACGAGTCTGGTTTGTGGAGATGCAAGCCAGTCCACAGTAAAATTATATTTTTCATCTAATATGTCAATTGCTCCAATGTGTTATGAAAATGTCAAACATGGTGCAAAGTAACTGCACTGAAAAAGTAAGATTAAGGCCTTCTTTGAACAAATGTTAACTTTTCACTATCTAACACTATATCCAACTATTAAGGGAAACCTCTCCTGTGAGTTTATGTATACTTGGATGGATATTGGATATGATGTTGTGGGTGTATTGCGTAGTGAAGTGACTGAATCTGCTTCAACGTCTGCACAACCCAAAACTCGAATCAAGCGCGCATCAGTTTGCCGCCACAAACCTCTACAGTCACTGTCGTTTTGTGATAAGCTCTTTATGTCAGACAGCAAACAGGAAGACGAGTACAGGGCACAGACAGAGCAAAGAGTCAATGACTCAATCCTCTACTCATATTTGTAACAGAGACTACTTCCTCTGTAAATGGCCAATATTGGTTAGAAATTATATTATGATATGAACGAATTTCCCCAGATAATGCCATTTCTCTTTATTGGAAATGTTGCCAATAATTAACACCATCTGTATTCGGCCTAGCTCCAGTGTGTATGTGTGTCATTCCCTGTCTCTTCCTCTCAGATCAAGTGATAGCCGTAAAGTTCAGTGAGGCAAAGTAAACATAGTATTTCAAGACAGTGAATGAAATAACCTAGGAATTATGGTATGCAATATTGGTTCCTGAATAGTTACAACTTTCTTCCATAGATGTATAAACATACAACTAATATTGTAGAAAAAAAAAAAGAAAATTAGCAATAATCTATTGGAATTTTATGAGCTGGATTATACTCAACCGCAAGATATAAACACACCATCATTATGCTGCATCGACGTCCATTCGATAATCGTGGGCATAACCATGACTAGCTGGTACAAAGCCATAACGCTAACTAAAAATGGTGGGCCAAAACCCCGGTGGTCTCTGTATCAAACAGGTTGACAGTGGTGGACTACTTACTTAGGCAGAGAGATAGCAGCTACAGCTTAATAGACAACTAAGAGCGAAAAGTTTAAAAGTGACCAACAAATTGAGAAATGCAATGGTAAATACAATAAACATTATACAGCTACAGCAATTTCTTTGATGATTCCAATTGCTTTACAACGACCAGACAAGTACGATGCGCCCAGTCAATGCGCCTTCACAGCTCTGTGTCAACAACGCAATGCACTTTACGGGTCTGGTATCATTAAACGAGTGGTTATAAAACTAGAAATTGCTTTTTTCCAAGCCTCGGGATAAATCTAGACTCAATTGTGTGACTTTTCATTTTTTATGGATACGGTAAAGAAGCAAATAGTCGTCGAGAACTCGGGTCATGGGGGCGCTGCAGCTGCTTTAGCACACAAGCTAACACTAGAAGCTAGCAGCAGAACAATCAGACAGAGCCACTACTCAGAGTGCTCAGAAAGCCACCAATATTTATCATTATTCCCACTAATCGCAGTCATCCGCACAAACGAGGCAGTGTTGTACCTGAAGTTCGGCTCTTTCCACTTCCCATTGTGCCCTCTCCACTTCGAAGCGGGCCCATTCGTGCTGCAGGAAGTGCAGGATCCCCGGGATACTGTACTGCGCTCTGGCCGCCTCCCCTGCGTCGCAGTCGGCTAACTGTCCCTTCCCCGCCCCGGGTAAAACAGAGTTATTATTGTTGTTGAAGAACACGCCAGGGCCCGCCTGTTCGTCCATGGCCGGGCTCGGGGTGCACTCTCTCCGCTTGTCTCTGGGCTTTGGTTCTAGTCTCCTGCAGAAGGTGAAGCGGCTCGAGCTCCGTCTCCGCGAGAATCAACTCTGACAGCTCGAGCTGTCAGTGACGTCAGCACGCAATCACGCCCACAGGAGGACGCAGTACTGCTCGTGTCCGCGCAGTTTTATAAAAAAAAACGAATTTTATATTGTCAGAAAAAAATAAACAAATAAATATAATATATGTGTATGTATATATATATATATATATGTCAAACGATTAACCGCATTAATGTCATTGTTAACTCAAGATTAATCCAATTAATAAAAAAAAATTCCCCTGTTCTAAATGATTTGGCTTGAAAGGGGAATTGGATCGATCAAAAGCTTATATTAATCGAATCCCCTCCAAAAAAGAAAATATTTCGGTTGTCTAACATAGGCTACTCAATCTCTGCATGCTTTTGTTATTGCTTTTTACAATGTAAAGAAATATGTATCATAGTAGAAATAACTTGAATAGTCTATAAAGGCTATTCTTTTGTTTGTTTTCATTCAAGTCAGTTAGGTGCTTTTTAGTCGACTATTGCATGCAGTGGAAGTATTTATAGTTTCAACATTTGGGCTGTGACCTGAAGATAGTTGTGATTCCTAATGGACTACCAGTTATTGCCAGTGATCGCGACTGGTTTTGTCTTCTCCAAGGTCTGCTGTACCGAAAGCGCCCTACACAGCACACGCGCCTTTCTAAACGGAAAGGGTTGCACAGCGGTGCAGGGCTGACGAGCACAGCCAGGCGTTTGTCAGCACAGAAAATGACCCACGCTAAATTTGCCAAAGAGTGACACGGCTTTCATTCATACTGACAGTATGCGCATGCAAACTGTCCTCTACACTTGTCCATAGAGAAGTTACAGAGGCAGAAGCAGCCTCGCAGTTGTGCTTGCATAATCATGTTATAAAAAGACATTGACGTTAAAATGGGTTAGTCTTGTTATTAACATTCAAAAACATTCATTTCAAATAAAATAATTTATTATGGTTGCAGGTCACTTCACAAGCAGATAAATCAGAATCATGTTCTGATGTTAGAGATAAAAATGTAGGAACATAGATGTTTTAGCATTTTACCCTTGAAAGTTTTAATTCATAACATGAAAACATGTTGAGTTTCAGACATTATTTAATGGCAACATCTACCCAAAATGAGACCCACAGGCTGAAAGTATGCAATAAAACAATGTAAACATCTTGATATGATCTATGATGTATTTCACAATTATGTACATGGCAAAAGTACTTGTTGTACTTGAACAGAAGACAAGGAGTGTTAAAAAGAAAAAGAAAATCAAAAACGTCCCTTGTAGATTCTCTCTCTCTCTGTACATACATCAACTCAGCAGTATGATTAAACATTCAAATAAATGTCACTGTTTACGACAAAAAACATTAAAATTAGAATAATATAAATAAAAACACATAATGATAGAAATTCAATCATGTAACAGTAAAATAAAAGATTCATCTTGTCCAGCATGTTATGGCAGTCTTTAGAAGAAGCTCGTTTTGAGTTTGATGGTGGGGGCAGCCTGTACGGTGGGTTGGGCGAGTCTGGCTGCTGCCTTGGCTCTACTACTGGCTTGGTTGGCTCTTATGGCGGATTCAAGGCAAGTTTTGAGCTCAGGGGCGGCGCCGATGACAATCTTGAAGGCTGCCGGGTAAAGGGGGCCAATGCGCATCAAGTTCTGAAGTGAAAACTCATGAAGAGCTTTGGAAACTGGTGATGCAGACAAGATGGCCTTTTCATCCAGGAGGTAGGAGATAAGCGTAGGGACGAGGAGAGCCAACAACTGGACCCCTGCAAACACATTGAAAAGTAGTTCAGAATTAATTAGAATTAATTAATCCCGAATGAAACTGCTGCAGCATACACAGAAGACAAGCAAACAAAAGAACGAGAGTCACTATTTCACATTTCGAACTGATTGGCTCTGTGGTTCTGCCTTTCACTTTTCAGGGTTACATTTATTTGTGATTTGAAAATATGGAATCAAAATAATAGGAATTATGATTAAGAATTTAGAAAGACATTTAGATTAAGAAATGTTCTTATTGTTTTCATACATGACTGTATTGTAGTAATCCCACATATTTGTATTTAGTTCAAAGTCAATACATCAACTCTGGAAGGGGAAGAACAAGCCATTTGTACTTGTATCCTTAAGTACAAAAAAAAACTACATTCAAATGTGTTAGTACTGCATTAATGTAGGATAAATTCCCCCTGATAAGAGGCTGATTAAGAATAAGGCCAAGAATCGCTTCTTGTCAGACATTCTATGTCTCAATAATCTTCTTAGACAAGATTACGCATATGCATGTATTTTTAGTGGACAATGTCAAGGATTATCTGCTACGACACATAATCTCAGCAAGGCAAACTATAACAATTGGTAGATTAAAACAAAGGAGGGAATGATGACCTCAAATCATTTCAAGAAATTCACGTTCAACAAAGCTTAATCCCAGGGACAAATAATAAAAGACTTTCCATTATGTATAAATGGTGTGTCATATATTTATATATATTATTAAGTGTTTTCATTGGAGCAAAGCTTTTCAATGTGTTCATGGGCATTAAAGAGATCCTGAAAGCCATTTGATTATCGAATTGAAGCCTTAAATCAAATTGGTTTCAAATTGGAACCGAAAAAGATTCAAATCTTATCAAATATTATGTGGCAATGCTATTCATTATAAAAAGAATATTCCAAATAATAATTATCGGTAAACTACAAAATATCATGCATATTATTATGTAAAGCAGCAGCAAGGGACGATTTTTTGAATCATATTGTAACTGTCCAATTAACACGCGACGAACGCTTTACTCATCAGAAAATAGACTGAATACTTACTGTTTTGCTCCTCCCCCATGCCCACCAGAGCCTCCAGGACCCTGACGCCCTCCTGAACGGCCTGGAGCTCCACGCTGCTCTGGGGCGGACTGGTCTCTGCGGCCTTCAGCTTCTCCACCAGGATGGGTGCCAGAGCGTGGATGTACGGCGTGGAGAGGGCGCGACTGCAGTGTTGGAACACGGAGAGGAGCAGCTGATAACACCGGGCCTCCATCTGAAAGAAGAAACAATATCACAGCTCAAGACAGTTTGGAGATATTGTTAGTATTTTGGCCCCGTCACATCCCTAGATCTTTGTAAAATAAGTTTCTAATAAGATTAAGACAGCGTCTGAATTGTTCACAAGCTTTATTTCATGTAATAAAAAAATTATAGGTGTTGCAAAAAATGAATATCACAAAATGATTTTTTTCTGTTTGTGCATCTCCTCTCCCGCCATGTTGGGACAGTGGCTGGAAATAACTGAGCACAAGAATCTGTGGGGTCAAGTAGCCAAGTTTGTGAAACCAATTTTGCACGATAACAATTTTGTTGTATGTTCATCTGAGAAGTACTGATGAACTGAGAAGCAAGTTTCGTCTCTTTGCATTCACTACTTGTTGGACCTTGTTTTGCAGCATGAAAAAATGCAAAATTAGTGACTGCACTGCGTTATTTGCCATATTCAATTTATTTTGAGATGTACAAGGACATTATTTTCAAACCGTGGCACAACTTCCTCTGCAGGCTTTATTAACAAGTCATTGTCATCAATATGTTTTTAAAAGTTTTTAGGTTATATTGGATCATTTCCAATGGCACACCCACATTTTCTGTTTCCACATATTCGTTGAGGCTTGAAAATAATGTAACATACAGCATCGGCTGTATGCGGTACTGTATGTTTTATCGATGGCGGTGCTCACCCAGGGGTCCCCAGAGTTGATTGCGTTTCTGTATTGGTCCAAACAGCCTTTCTGAAGAACGGTCACTCCCACGAGCTCATTTCCCGCGGACAGCAAGAAGAGCGTGATGGCTGTCAACATGCTGATGTCATCTAGGTCGGCACGAGAATCATCTAAACACATGCATCTGAATCAGTCCAGAAGTTCAGCCACCATTGGATAAAAATTATATCAACTTTTAATCAACATAATTTTTCATATTATATTTGGCGATTCTTGTGTTTTCGGGATATCGTTATTGATAAATTGCAATTCAGGTTTGGAGACCGGCACTTTTAAAGTCTACACCATTTGAGCTGGCTCTGTAGAACTCAAAGAATGTAACAACAAGTGACAGAGTAAAGTGTGGATTTTCTGTCGTAGAACAATTCTATTTAATTAGTTTATGGACGGCACGGTGGCTGAGTGGATAGCACTCTCGCCTCTCAGCAAGAAGGTCCTGGGTTCGAAACCCGGTCAGAACAGGGTCTTTCTGAGTGGAGTTTGCATGTTCTCCCCGTGTCTGTGTAGGTTTCCTCCGGGTGCTCCGGTTTCCCCTACCACTAAAAACATGTACAATAGCTCTGGCATGCGCCTCCTGTACTGGCGACCTCGCTCGGTCTGTGAAAGGTGGTATATAAATAAAGATTACTTACTTACTTATGTGTTAATGTGTCAATACTTTCTGACCTAGCTGATTGCATGGATAAAAATATTCAAACCTTTGCCAAGCTAATGTTTTTGGCAAAGAGGAGGAAGTAACCATCTGATCAGAATGGACTAAAATAAACACTTCTCACATTAAGGATTAATAAATATGTAAAGCATAATAAATTATAAATTGCAATTAAATAGCGGCAAATCTTTCACATCTGGTAGTGTAATTACCAAATAAAATGGATAATTTCTAATACGCTCAATAAGCAATACTATTGTACCTAAAAAATCTTTCACGTTTAAATATAACCCATGCAGAAAAAACAGCTTTTATCTGAAAGCGACAGCAGCATATCTTCAGGTTGGTAAGAAATCAAACCTGGCTGTGAGTATTCCAGCACAGAGGCCAGGCTGCTCCTAACGAGGGTGGTCCACTGGGTCTTGATGCTCTCCTCTCGGGACAGTGGGCTCGTGATGATGGTTTTCACGGCCTGCAGTGCCGCAGAGACCGGAGCTGGCACCGAGTTGTCCGGAGTTTTGAGCGCGGTTTCCTTCAGGACTCCAGTGATGAGGAAGAGCACCGTGGGAAGAATGGTCATGCTCCCTGTAACAATAGAGGCATAGATTATGGGCGGCACAAATGACCAAGCTAATAACATGTTCAATGTTATTAGCTTGGACAAATTACTTATAAATAGTAATGGTTCGACCAATATGAAATAAGTATACTATATTTGTCTTATTCTGGTGGCTTGTGTTTGCTGATTCTTCATGTTATGATAAACTTTATTATTATTCCAGATTTTATGCTGCTGATGAAAATGAATTCATCTTTGGAAGCTATGGAAGCTAATCTCAAAGACTTCACCACTGAGGTCCCCCTGTTCAATCAAACATCCCTCGGGATCCCCCAATAAAATCACACTATTCTGAAGAAAATGCTTATTTGATGTGTAAAATGTACTGATGTAGTAGTTTAAACTAAATATTATTAGATTTGATTTATTTTCTCAATTGCTTGTTTTGTTGACAACCATTGGAGGCCCCCCTGAAGTGGCTCTCAGAACCCCATTGAGGCCCCTGACCCCACTTTGGTAAATCTATGGCAACAGTATTATTTTGCATCACTCTGGAACTCATGGTTACAGTCATTTGGAAATGTGTTTAACAGACACAGGTTAATTACATAAAAGAAGAGGTTTAAACCAGGTTTTGCTAAAGGCTACTGTTACCACCATGTATGTTGTTGAAAGAAAGGAGATCATAATTTGTATGGTCAAGGCTATGCTCATAATTTAAAACAGCTGAAAATATTTCCTATAAGATAAAAATCTGAAATGTATTTCTTCAATTTAATTCTTCATTAAATTTCGCCGTCAGCGAGAAGGACTATCAGATCCGAGACATAATGTACCTGTTCTTTTAAACCTACGAGAAAAAAATGTTGTTCTGCTCATGCAAAAGCAAATTCCCGAGTGTTTGTGCCCTGGGCCTCACCAGCTGGAGTGCAGAGTGATGGCAGCTCAGCCAGGATGGAGACCGTGTGGGCCACGAGTCGGGCGCTCTGCTCGGACAGCCGCGGCGGCCGGAGCGTGGCGTGGCTGGGGGACTCCTTCACTTTGGTGTTGAGTTGTGGCAAATGACGAACCAAAATGAACACGAGAAGCTCCATGCAAGCAAACACCAGGGATTTGCCAGGAACCAGCTCCCCAGTGTCCCCTCCCTCTCCCAGGACAGGTGCAGACTCCTTCTCCACCTCCTCGTCTTTGTCTGAAAGAAAAAGACGTATTTTAATTTATAACGGTTGTTTAATCGTCACTTGATGAATTCCTAGTTTGTGACCTCCTGTTACTTACAAATAATTCTGATTCTGACTCATCTCAAGAAACCCCTGTATTTATTTGGAGTTTCAAGTCCTGAGCTCTGGTTGGCCAGTGGTTCCCCACCGGTGTCGATTGGGCAAAAGCGGAGGTGGCCCAACAACCCCGCGTTCACCTGGCCTTCCTGGCCGCCCATATTACCTGCCCATCTTCTGCGGCTCGGAGCAGCTGGAATCAGTGGCCTACAGTTTGTCTGCGTCTCTCTTTTTATGTCACTTGTGCCAGCCTTTTGTTCAGTGACTCGTTTTTGTTTAATTGTAGTTTTATATCACAATATGATGCAGTTGTGATTAGTTCTGTAATTTGCTTACTTTGTTTTATAGGTTATTCATTCACTTTAGTTTGTGTAAATATTTACTTCTATTTTGTTATTCCTTCCATCTACTTTGACCCTTACATTTTCCTCTCTTTTTCATGTTTCTGTCTGATGTATGGATGGGACGAGGAAAAATACATGCATGTGAAAACTGTTGTTGAGCGAGGAACTACATTGATTACATGGATGATATTATAGTCAGTTACAGTTTTTGTGGTTTAAAAGTTAGCTTTAACCAAAGTCGCTTGCCAGCACTGGAAAAGGCTTTATGAAAATTAAATGTACATAGAAAAGAGGGGGAGGAATGCAATGTTCTGAATTTAGTTGTAAGTTGTCGCCATAGAATCAGACGCCACTGTCAAGGTATCCACTGAAGTCATAGAAACTAGAAACACATTTGCACAATTTAAGATACTATTGGCAACTAAACCTCACAAAGGACATGTAATATGTATAAGAGGGCTGATGAGTGCACATGTCTGACTTTTGGAGGTGCGTTGAAGCTGCAGCTGCTCCTGTGCTGCTCGGATGGTCTCCTGGACGACAGCAGTGACCTGCAGTTGAACTCCTGGAGGGTCGCGGGTCAGTAACAGTCTGTGCAGCACGTTGAGGAGCTCCACAGCCAACAGCTACACAACAACACAAAGGTAAGTCAAGGCATGACCGAGGTGAACACATTCTATTTGTATAATATAGGGGAAATGTTTGTTCTCAATTGATTTGACTGATGGTCGACCTTTGAATGAGGACTTGGACCTAATAAAGTGAATGGATACTTCGTCACTACCTGCGGTGTTCAAACAACGAGGTCATGGCCCGAACTTTATTTTACAAGAAGTACTTTAAAGTTCTCCCCTAGTACACTCTAACCAAACCATGTTAAAAAGTCCATGTATGTGTAATCAACAACTAAAACATGTTGTAAAAAGTGCCTTGGCTGTAATTAACAACAACTTGTGTTCTACTGTCAGTTAACTGTGTAACTCCGTCACCCCTAGTGTTTCAAAAACTCTACGGGTTATAATGGAGAACGACATTTTAACAACCACATCATAACAGTAACATCAACTTTTTAGCATCTGAAAAAACATTGCCAGAATCACTAATATAGACTATCATCCATGCATTTGTCTCCAGTAGGTTAGATGACTGTACGGACCTGCTCACTGCTCTCTCCAAACAAGCTGTAAAACAGCTGCAGCTAATAATTGTAATATTTTGAAACATGTTCTTGACCTGGTCCTCTGCAATGTGCTTCTTGGCACATGGTGAATCCAGGATTGTGCATAATCCCTGCAAGCAGGACATTACATTTTCTATGGGCTCCTCCGGACGTGGAAAGCAGAGAAACTCAATGCTGACGCCTGAGGAGAAAAGCAAAATTACAATTAGGGTGTGTCCACTCTATTCTTGGAAAAGGTGAAAATAACTCCATGGTAAACAAAAACTGCTTTAAATGAACACAAACAAGCTGTTTCTATACGGGCTATGAATGTTTAGAAAAACTTTTTTTTTCATAATTACAGAAACAGGTGCAAGGCTCTAATCCGGAGAAGTGTGTCCCAACTAGGGTTTAATATTTTTCCCGAAAATGAGACGTATTAAATCCCGGGAAAAGACGACGCCTTTCCCGGGAAATCCCGGGAAATAGCTGTTGTTTGTAGTTGTCGTTTTTAGCCCAAGTAATGTATGATATCACTCAAATATATAATCCAACAAAAGCTGCCGTCTCCACTAGTGTTTCACCAAGCGACTTGCTAGCTTTGCTAAAGTAGCCATAGCGTTTTCAGACGTTTTGTTGATGGGCTTTCTTCAGGAATTTCACTAATATGAGATTCTAAATGTCTGCCCAATCCACTTGTCGACCAGTGACGTGCGGTGTGGTTTGGAGGCACTGACTTCAGCCCTGTCAGATGAACATATATCATATAAATCAACAGAACCTACAAAGCGGCTTATTCACAATTAGTTTGGCTACAGCAGAATGTTTTCCATGGCCCGCATTATTTGCTCAAACAAAACGCAAAAGTTCGTAAAAGGCACATTTCCAATTGTGTTATGGGTCTTACCTTAGTTATTAATGAACAGCACAGACCACTTCGGTTCAGACCAGTTTCATGTTTAAGTCCAGATAATAGTTTGAGCGTAGATATGTAATCCCCCATTTGGAAATAAGCCCAAAGAGTTTTAAAGCGTAAAACAAAACGGGTGCCACCTCCATAAACTCCTGTGTTTTTTCGCTTGCTGCAGCCGGCTCTCGGGCGCATCCAATTTCTAATATCAACCTTCTTACCCTTCTCCTCTCTTCCTTATCATTCCTATAGTCATTGGAAGCAGAACATTACCCTAAATGCATTTTATATGATCTTAAAATGTGTTATATGTATGTTAGCCAAACCTGTTGCTGCCCTTAGCAGATAGAAAAAAAGAAAGGAGCTTTCTGATAGAATTGGACGTAGCCAAATTCTGGGCTCACATGCGCCCCGTACCCTGAGGCTGGCCTCATTACAAGTCGTGGTTTAGCGCGATTAAGACCCATATTTGTTGTCAAAAACACTATTTATGAGCCATCCTCTCAGCTGTAGACATGTTGATTGTAAATGAAATATGTTTGAACTTTGAACAACAATAAACGTGCTCTATAATAGGAGCGCACTGGATTTTTTTTTAAACTTTCATTTCCCGTTTCCCGTCATAACATTTCCCGGGAATCGGGAAATAGTTTTGATCAGATTTCCCGGGAATCCTGTGTCCCGGGATTAAACCCTAGCCCCACCAAATAAACAGTAGTAACTTGAAGTAAGAAAGAACAAAAGCTGAGTGAGGGTGGTCCTCTCTGTATCACTTTTTGCATGTGAAAACTACTCACAGAACCAAACTATTTTGAGAGCAAGGGACTAGTTAGATGGATTTAATTTAGATTGTTCTAGTCGGAGTTTGACAGTTCAGTATCCCAGCTTTAATTATAGAAAGTTTACCTAGAATAAGATGCATTCTATCTTTGACCGATTCGTCAAATGTTTTGGACAAAGTGACTCCTGCAGCTTTGGATGGAGCAGAGGGAGAATCCGGTTCATCATCTTCTCCAAACCCAGTGCTGTTCAACCACAGGGCCACAGCGTGGAGCACAGGGGCCCAGGAGCTGCGGTAGTGCAGCCGGGCCATGTCGATCGTCTCTGGAGTGTAAAATGCACCACCTGAAAGAACACATACGCAACAAATATCAAATCGAATCAAATTTTGAGTGAAGGAGTTGACCACACTACACACATTTAAACTGACGAGGCTATCACCAACATCTGGAGCAGTGGATAGACTTGAATTATAATTTCTTGTTTTTAATTTTCTATATTAAAAAATAAAATACAATTGAGTGAAATGTCCAACACTTGACATTGTTTTGCCTGTAATTAATTCACAGTTTGTTTTGAAACTGATTATTTATCCATGAAGATAAATGGCCAATTCCACTATCTATGGAAAGGCAAGCCCATTCAAAGTGAGAATATACAGTGCCTTGCGAAAGTATTCGGCCCCCTTGAACCTTTCAACATTTTGCCACATTTCAGGCTTCAAACATAAAGATATAAAATTTTAATTTTTTTGTCATGAATCAACAAGTGGGACACAATCGTGAAGTGGAACGAAATTTATTGGATAATTTTAACTATAAAAAAAAAAACAAAAACTGAAAAGTGGGGCGTGCAATATTATTCGGCCCCTTTACTTTCAGTGCAGCAAACTCACTCCAGAAGTTCAGTGAGGATCTTTGAATGATCCAATGTTGTCCTAAATGACTGATGATGATAAATAGAATGCACCTGTGTGTAATCAAGTCTCCGTATAAATGCACCTGCTCTTTGATAGTCTCAGGGTTCTGTTGAAAGCGCAGAGAGAACCATGAAGACAAAGGAACACACCAGGCAGGTCCGAGATACTGTTGTGGAGAAGTTTAAAGCCGGATTTGGATACAAAAAGATTTCCCAAGCTTTAAACATCTCAAGGAGCACTGTGCAAGCAATTATATTGAAATGGAAGGAGTATCAGACCACTGCAAATCTACCAAGACCCGGCCGTCCCTCCAAACTTTCATCTCAAACAAGGAGAAGAATGATCAGAGATGCAGCCAAGAGGCCCATGATCACTCTGGATGAACTGCAGATAACTACAGCTGAGGTGGGAGAGTCTGTCCATAGGACAACAATCAGTCGTGCACTGCACAAATCTGGCCTTTATGGAAGAGCGGCCATTTCTCAAAGATATCCAATAAAAGTCTCTTAAAGTTTGCCACAAGCCACCTGGGAGACACACCAAATATGGAAGAAGGTGCTCTGGTCAGATGAACCAAAATCAAACTTTTTGGCCACAATGCAAAACAATATGTTTGGCGTAAAAGCAACACAGCTCATCACCCTGAACACACCATCCCCACCTCAGCTGTAGTTATCTGCAGTTCGTTCATCGAGAGTGATCATGGGCCTCTTGGCTGCATCTCTGATCAGTCTTCTCCTTGTTTGAGATGAAAGTTTGGAGGGACGGCCGGGTCTTGGTAGATTTGCAGTGGTCTGATACTCCTTCCATTTCAATATAATTGCTTGCACAGTGCTCCTTGAGATGTTTAAAGCTTGGGAAATCTTTTTGTGTCTAAATCCGGCTTTAAACTTCTCCACAACAGTATCTCGGACCTGCCTGGTGTGTTCCTTTGTCTTCATGGTTCTCTCTGCGCTTTAAACAGAACCCTGAGACTATCAAAGAGCAGGTGCATTTATACGGAGACTTGATTACACACAGGTGCATTCTATTTATCATCATCAGTCATTTAGGACAACATTGGATCATTCAAAGATCCTCACTGAACTTCTGGACTGAGTTTGCTGCACTGAAGGTAAAGGGGCCGAATAATATTGCACGCCCCACTTTTCAGTTTTTTATTTGTTAAAAAAGTTTAAATTATCCAACAAATTTCATTCCACTTCACGATTGTGTCCCACTTGTTGTTGATTCATGACAAAAAATTAAAATTGTATATCTTTATGTTTGAAGCCTGAAATATGGCGAAATGTTGAAAGGTTCAAGGGGGCCGAATACTTTCGCAAGGCACTGTATGTTTTCAATGTTTTCCAATGGACTCCATGCAGGGATGAACACATATGTCGTTGTTTGTTGTACATGTTCAGTGTTTCCCACAGAATAGAAAGCAATGTGTGGGGGCCCATGTGTATGAGGGGGGGACATATGAATCACTAGGACATGAACACACAAAGAGAACACACACTGTAACATGCTACATTTTCAGGGAAATAGTAAAATATGCAAATCATGACTGCTGTGAGCTGTCTGCCCAGACGCGCGCCTTCAGGTTAAGCGTGCGGCTGCTGCTATGTCTCCCCTGCTCTCTCTCTCTAGTCTCCCCCGCTCTCCCTCTAGTCTCCCCCGCTCTCCCTCTCGTCTCCCCCGCTCTCCCTCTCGTCTCCCCCGCTCTCCCTCTCGTCTCCCCCGCTCTCCCTCTCGTCTCCCCCGCTCTCCCTCTAGTATCCCCCGCTCTCCCCTCTAGTATCCCCCGCTCTCCCTCTAGTATCCCCCGCTCTCCCTCGTATCCCCCGCTCTCCTCCCTCGTCTCCCCCGCTCTCTCTCTAGTCTCCCCCGCTCTCTCTCTAGTCTCCCCCGCTCTCTCTCTCGTCTCCCCCGCTCTCTCTCTCGTCTCCCCCGCTCTCTCTCTCGTCTCCCCCGCTCTCTCTCTCGTCTCCCCCGCTCTCTCTCTCGTCTCCCCCGCTCTCTTCCAGGCTTGTTCTCCGCAAATATAACCGGTCTCCGAACCTCCCAATGACAGCACTGACCCAGAGAAACACTGTTCCCACTGCTGACTCTGTGCAAAGTGTCTATAGTTTGTGTTTGGTGAGGTACAACACTTGCACGCTGCCTCGCAGCTGCAATTGCTTTGCTATGGTTTCCGCACTGATTCAACGCGGTCTTGCTCGAATATTTTGTATGGGAGCATGACGTTTTTTGGGGCCAGGGAGGTAGTCTGACATGTCTGCCAACTAGTGGCAGGGAGTATGAATGAATTTTGACACACTTGGCCGTTTTAAACAATACCGCAGCTCGTGGTGCCTAGAGTTAATAACGAAACGCAATCAGTGGCGGTTGGTTTTGTATCTGTGATGCACCCCCACAGATTAGCCTATGTGTGGGAAACACTGATGTTTAAATTACCGTATACGAGTTTTTTATTGTTGTACATGTTTAAATTCAAGTATATAGGGCGACAGTAGCTCAGTTGGTAGAGCATTGGCCTTTGAGCCATTAGGTCGTGGGTTCGAGCCCACCACGGGACCTGCTCCACCGACTCCCACTGATGTCTGCTGTCGTTGTGTCCTTGGCAAGACACTTAACCTCTGGGAACACCAGGTGCCACAGTGGGGCGGCTGCGGCTGTAAAGTGTCAAACTGCTGTTGTGTCCTTAGGCAAGTCACTTCACCCCCATTGCCTAGAATGAGTCTGGTGTGTGTGTGAATGGTTGGTGGTGGTGGTCGAAGGGGTTGCGAATACTGGTTGCCTCGCTTCTGTCAGTGTGTTCCAGGGCAGCTGTGGCTACAGTAGTAGTTTATCACCACTGTGTATGGAGTGAATGAATAATGACATGTAAAGCGTCTTTGAGGGTCCAAAAAAGCGCTATATAAAACTGATGCATTATTATTAAAGAAGTGTCAGTTGTTTACCCTCGGGAGGCAGCTGACTGGAGAACTCAGCCGGCAGAGTGAGCAGAGCGTAGTCTCGGAGCATCGCCAGCCACAGCCGGCTCAGAGAGGGCAGTTCCGGCTGCACCAGAGTGATAAGACTGTCCGGAGGCAAGACGTTCGCACCGAGATCGTCCTCATCCTCATCTTCAATGCAGGTCCTCGCTGGTTTCACAGGCTTGGACTCCGCCTCCTTCTTGATCTTCATCGCCACCACATACACCTGTGACAGTTCATGGGTTGGAATGGAAGACTATCAACTGTAGACACAGCTGGTATAGCGTTGAGAAATCAAATTGTGGGGATGTGAGTGTTTTCTGAGCAATAATCAGTGCATTAGTAGATTTGAATGTAGACTTCCCCATACCTCAGCCCATGCCTTGAGCACGGCCAGTTTCTCCATGGTGGTGGCACTCTCGCTGTACAGTTGACTGGACGAGCCTTTGCCAGCCTGCACCTTGTCCAGAGACGACACCAGGAGGTTGTGGACCCGCCTTAGGTCATTCAGGTCGCTCACCACACCACTGCCAATCCATGTGCTGCAAACCTGCGCCACAAGACCAGTGAAATTATTCTCACAATATTCTAACAATATAAATAAAGTGACATGTGTGCTCCTCCTACTGTTCTGTAACTGAAGATGCAACATTGACATTTCCCCATAGTGGCATGCAGGATCTCTAATTGCTAATTGTTACTTGCCGACATAAGAATGATTGTATGTCTATTGCTTAAAAACATTCTGCTAATACTGAGGCATGGCCCAATTTCATTATAGGATTGTGACATCTTAATAAACATTATTCATAAGAGAAAAAAATCTGGGTTGAGTCCTGTAACTTTCTCTTTGCATCCATCAGAGTAAAACATTTGGACAAATCACCATCAAAATCAGCTCATTTTGATTACGCATGTGTCCAATTACAGTTAATAGGAGAAGTATTCTACATGAACAATGAAGTATTGACTGAAGGCAGCTCTCACCTGACAAGCTTTCGCTGTGATATCAGACGGAGTATCAGGTGAAAAGGCCGGTCTGAGAGCTGCTCCAACCTGAAAGCATTTAAACAGTCGTCTTCATTTCCCCCTCAGAGCTCAGAGATGCTAATGCATGCAGAGCTCAGAGATGCTAATATAATTTGATACTGATGAGAACTAGTGATATGTAAATCAAATATAAAAAAATATATATTAAGAAAAACATGCATTCACAAAAGAACATTAAAACCATACAGCATTGTGTGTAATAAGAAACCTGTTTTCTAAAATAAATAATAAAAAAATACATAAATACTGCAAGTATTTACCCTTCAAAAGTTCAAAAACTCTTTGGGGAGGATAAGGGGAGGATGAGGGAGGGAAAGGTCTTGAGAATTGTCTTGCAGTGCCTTAACTTTTCTCTTTTTATGTATTTATTGTCATTTTAAATTATGTTTTTATCTCTCAATAATCAGATAATAACAATAACATCTATCCTATGTTTGTATGAATGTGAGCAAGGGACTAATGCGCAATTTATTTTGGGATCAAAAAAGTATATACTGTATCTATCTATCTATCTATCTATCTTAAAACCATAGGGACCCGCTAAACTATTCAAGAAGGACTGGTATAAAGGGTGAGCTATAACTTTATACTATAACTAGATTTTCCAATCCATCACATGTTTTTATTATGTGAGAGATTAAGATTTATTTTGTGCTTACATTGGCTTGGTACTGCTCCAGAATCACGTGTCCCGGAAACTCTGGTTCAGGGACAGAGGCAAACTTCTTAATGATGTCCTCCAGCGCCTGCAGCCCGGCCATCCGCAGCTGGTTGCTGTGGTCTGTGGCCGCCATGAAGGCCATCCGGATGAGGTCAGACAAGTGCCGCACCAGCAGATCTCCTGGAAGTGAAGAGAAGCAGATGATCTCAACCGGATTCAGTGATTCTAAAATGGTCCAAATATCTTTTGGTGGACTACAGGTTTATAATAATATTTACTTGTTTCTTGGAATTTATTATTTTATTGAGTCAAGTATAATATTGTGCAGATATTTTGCTTATACAATTGAAACAGCTCTCAAGAGGCTAAACCTAAAACTTAAATATTCTATACTTATCAGAATCATTTTTATTGCCATTAAAGTCAGGGCAAGAAGTAAGTAGGACTATAGAACAGAAGTCTAAATTGGGGCAATTTAAGAGGCTGTACCTTATGTTCATGTTTATTTTTCTCGCGGTGCAAATGTTGTAATCCCCATTTGTCTAAGAGAGTCCAAAGCGACAGTGCTAATGTTGTAAAACTCAGGCAAACTCTGTGAGCATAATAAACACCGAAATCTCAACTAATCAAAGTGAATAATTAGAATGTGGGTAAGGTGTGAGAAAGTAAGAAATGAGCTTGGGCTGCTGTGAATTGCTAACGATAAAGTGTAAAAATGATATAAGAGGGCAGTTCTCTTTACATCACAGATATGGTTAGAGAGGTACTGGTTAGGTCCGTTAAATGTGATACATGAGGAGGTGGTGGCTACAGTGAAAATGGATATGAAGAACGAATGTACAATTTTCTGCTCTCCTGTGAAAACGTAAGTGTGCTGGAGTGCATCAAAAGAAACAGGATATAGCCTCGAGGAAGACTCTAATTGAGTTTTAGCTGAAGTGCTCCTTTCAGGGGATTAGCGGCGCATACAGCAGTCGGGCCATCTCCCCCTCTCAAGAGTTTCCTCCTTCTCTTTCTTCAAGTACTACATTTGGCAAAACTGCTCCCAGGCCATAGGAAAATGACTGTGGTTCTTCTTGAGTATAGATTTGCATGTGTGGGATTTATATTATACAATGTTTTTATGAAGAAAAATCCACCCACATTGTGGGAGAAAATGGTGGAGAAAATGCTGTAAGCACATGCTAATGACTATGACTTTATTCATTGTCGTTTAGTAATATACTTCTTATTTAAGCTAAAATGTTCTTACTTGTGTGTACAAAGATAACGTCTACTAAATCTGCACAGGTTCAGTAAATTATTCAACTACATTCACTGACTAAAAGAGTGAAACAATATTTTTAAGGCTCAATAACCTTTGCACTATCACAATTGTGTGTTAGTTGATATTGAAGCTGGATATAAGTTTTGTATCTATTAGAGATAATGTATTTTTCAGGATGAAGGTTCACTTCATAAAAATACTTTTTTGGGTCAATTCTATAAAAGAGATTTTTTCTTTTCCAAAGCCTCGTAGGAGACCGGGAAAATGCAGGATGCAAATCATCCTGCACAATATTTAGTCTTGTATTTTAGAAAAATCCAACACTTGATAAGATGTATTAATGATTTATACTATATTTTACTAGTCAAACTATTATATGGGGCAAAGGATACTGAAGTAACAAGTAAAGAGAGAACAATGTGAACATTGTTCAATATTAGTCTATCGTGGCATTTCCTTTAACAATGGATAGTTAACTGTACCTTTCTTAGCAGCGCGGGCCGCTGCCAGGTCAAAGTGCGTCTTGTCTGCATTTTCACACAGCAGGATGATTCTGCAGAGACAGTCGGCGGCGAACACTCGAGTGACCCACCGCGGCGCCACCGAAGGCTTGGACTTGTCATCGTCGCCGAGGCCTGTGAACATGGTGTCATCATCGGTCTCATTGTTCTTCTCTGAGTCCTCCTCATCTCTCTCCACCTCGAACACAACAGCTCCACCCACATCTGCAACAACATAAGCAATTATGAGATTTACACGAGAACATTTTGAGTAATAGACTTGTGTGTTTAACCATGATTATAGACATTTTCACAACATGCCAGACAAATTGTTGGTTCAAATGTATCTTGCATAGTTTAATTAGTTTAGTTTTTATTTGAGGGGACACTGTCTTTTATCTTAATGTCTCACCAGATAATAGCAAAACATCTAGTTTCCATCTGCATCCAATTACCCTGGAAATATGCAATAATATGCATTCAGAAGGCCCCTCATGGACACGGACTCACACGTGTACAAACACACGCACACACATACACACACACAAGCATGCACGTAAACACTATCCATAAATTTAATAAATCTCTTTCAGTTTATACTAGGCACAGGAATAACCCTGACTGTAAAATATGTTCTTTAATGCATAAAATACTGTAATTTGACATCAAAAGTGGATCTATAGTGTTGTACCTGTAGTTGCTGCGAGGACATCTTTACAGAGTTTGAGCCAATGAGAGAGTTTTTCCACCGCCAGCGATGAGAGCATATGTCCCAGAGTGTCGTGAATGTCGGAGCACAGTTTTCTGTCCGTTTCTTTGTCGAGCATCCCGAACAACACTCCCTCTAGACCTGTCTCTGTGATGTTCAGCTCTAGATCAGAGACAAAACAGAATATAATGATACTACGGAAATATAACTGGTAAAATAAAGGTTCAAATTATTCATTGTATTTGCAGAGAAACTACTTGAGACTGTGATGATGAGAATTCTTTTGCTCACTGATAGTTGTGCCATCTCCGGTCTTCTTGGCGAGGCTCATGGCGTACTCGCAGACTTCAGCCGCCTCTCTCTGTGCGAGCTGTCGCAGGCAGGCCACAGCAGCGCGGCGGAGGAGCAGGTGAGAGCTGCACAGGTGCACCTACAAAGTATAACCAACAATAATCCTTAAGCTGCAGAGGAATGTACGTTCATTCTGTTCAATTACAGCGGAGGTGGAAGAAAACACTTCATTAAAAATACACTTTTTTTTAGCTGCTCTCCTTATGTTCATTGTCATACAGAGACAGTATCTTGATATTGAGAATAGAAATTAACAAAACATTTACATAAACTGTTTGGAGCAACATTTTAATGTTGTATTGTCAAAAGTTCAATATTCAAAGAATTTAACTCGCTCCATGATTCTCAACCTGAGTTGCTACAATAGCTCTAGGTTTCAATTGCATTTTATTCAAAGATGAAAATCAACCTACACCGAAAAGTAAGTGATGCATTGAAACTTAATTTTATGCGGACAAATGGACAAATGGTCTTTATAAGTCATGAGTCATGATATTTAAAGCTATGACTTACACAAAGACAGGGAACCAGGCTGGAGAGATTGACGTGCCGTGGTGCAAACATGTGAAGCTGCTGTAAACAGGAGATGGCAGCCGCCTGAACCAGAGAGTCAGAGTGATCTTGCATTATGGCACAGCCCACCAAACACGATGAGCGAATGGTCGAGATAGTGGCACCATTACCTAAAAAAGAGATGAGGGGAAAAGATTATGTACTGTGATAGGAGCTGGTAGATTATACTGCCACCTGCTGGAAATGAAAGGTTTTGGATCTTGCTGGACCGCACAAATTTAGGCCACACTTGAATATAAGCTGCAACAACATGATGACGCTTGTGTTTAAACGCACTGTGGGACTTGATTGGTAGATAATACAATGAACTCAGAGGGGGAAAAATATCACCTCATGTTAGCATGCTTATCTTAACTTCCTTAGCTTCCTTCTGATTTGATAATAAACGTGAGTCTTATAGCTACTAAAACTTGATGGAGCCAAATAACAAGTCCATAAACTCTACTCTGACAACAGTTCCTGTCAGATCTCTGTGATATTTACCAACATTCAACTAAAATCCTAAAGAGTCTGACACAGTGCTGGTCCGCTTCCCTCAGTTCAGACAGTGGTTCAGTCAGGTTGTAGTTACCCTGTAGCTCTGGTCCCACAGTGGTGATGAGGGCTCCGAGGCAGCGTCCCAAACACTGGTGCACCTCAGTGTGCGACGGTGGCACAGTCAGCAGCAGCGTCAGCACGAGGGACAGGGTGGGCTCCACGTAGCCTCTGTACATGGGACCACTGGAGTCTACGATGAGGGCCAACGAGTGCAGCGCCCAAGTCTGAAAAAAGAAAAATGTTTCACCTAAGTTTTCAAAAGGTGTTGCAGGACATCAGCTGGGGAACGTGAGATGATTTTATATATATTTTTTTTTTTTACAAATTCTGCATGTATTTTTTAACAATCTTTTTGATACATTATTTCTAAATAATATTCAATGAAACAGTAAAATACATGACTAAAATAAACATGAAAATAAAACCAGCATGAAATACACACAAATATATGAGAATATAAAAGAGAATAAAAAGACAAATGTATCTTCAGACTGGATTCAAAATCCCCAATGAAGGAGGTAGGCTATTCTGTCTGGAACTGATTTAACAAGAAATTGAATGGAAAATAGGGCAACAATGGCTCAATTCGATGTATATCTAATAATTAGGGTGGTTTATGGGTGGGTCTTTGGGGTTTATTGGGCATGTTGTATTGATTTTGACTCCGGTGTAAAGCACGTTGTGTTACATTTTATTGTATGAAAAGCGCTTTATAAATAAAGTTTGATTGATTGATTGATTGAATTGCATTGGCCTTTGAGCCCAGAGGTTGTGGGTTGAAGCCCACCACAAGACCTTCTCCACTGACTCACACTGATGTCTGCTCATGTTGTGTCCTTGGGTAATACCATTTAGCTCCACTTTGCCTGGATGGATGGAATAGAAAACAGTGACTTCAGTGTAGCGCCAGGGAAGAAGCCTCCTCTCATCTTGAATGAGGATTTGTTGTCAAGGGAGACTTGCTGCAGATCAGCCTACTGTGCATGTTTTGATGCGTAGTTTAAGTATGTAAAGTGAATTTTACATGCAAGATGCAAGGCGTGCAGAAATACAGGTTTTGCTGAAGGAAGCAGGATCTCTAAAGCGCTCTAAAGTCACCTCACCTGAACTTCATGAGAAGAGCCGTCTTGAGCCAGAGCCAAAAGGATGCTGACACTGGTCTTTAAGTGCTGCCCTGAACCAATTCCGCCAACGTATCGATGCAGACAGCCCAGAGCCAGAGAGTGCCCTGTCCTGGATACAACATCTCTGGCAGATTTAAGCCTGGAAACAGAAACAACAAAATGCTTGTTTTAAATTGAACTACAGAGTACGAGTGTTAGAAATGCTTGGAGAGTTAAACGTCTTTAAAATAATTGTCCTAGGAGTTTTTTGGGCTGCAGCTTACTTGTCAAAGCTGGTCTGTGCCATTCGAGCGATAAAGGTTGCCTCTCCGACCACCTGAGCCATCCTTCCCAAGGCCTCCCCAGCCGCACAGCGCAGGATGGGGTTAGGATTGTCCAAGGCCCCCATTACAAGAGCCAATGCTGATTTACGAACCTCCTCTGGGCCCAGGGTGCTCTTGTTCTCAGCCAAACCCTTAAATCAAACCAGACAAAAACAGCATTAAACAGTAAGTGCCAAGTAAGCCATATTATTAAGGATACGCACCTTAAGAGCACTGAGGACAGCAGTAAATATATTGAGCTGGACCGCTTGTTGACGGACTCCTTTAGCTTGCTTAATGCACTCTGCAAAGTGATCCAGCATCTGCAGCCTAAAGCACACAACATTAGACATCAATTATTAACTCTGCTATCATCTATTCAAATAAGTCTTAATAGTAGGAAAAGTCAGTTAAGTTGCAAACATACGCAGACAGATTGATACAAACCATTATATCCAATACTTTAAATTAGCTCATATGTTGGACATAAACCTGACTTAGATAGTCTTACTCATACATTGGTCTCGACTCTCGTGTAAGACAAAAGGCCTGCTCTCTGGTCTACCCAAAAGAGCTGTAAAATAGCAGCAGTATATTCACTGCAGCTCAAGTCCTGACTAGAACCAGGAAGTATGATCATATTAGTCCAGTTCTCAGGTCTCTGTACCAGCTTCCTGCGGCTCAGAGAATAGACTTTAAAGCAGTGCTGCTCTTAAATCTGTCCATGGCCACAAACCAAAGTACATCTGCGACATGGCATCATAATCATAGTTTATACTGATTTGAACGTGTTATTTGAAATCGAAAATAAATTACAATACGTCATCATTCACTGCAATTAAGTTGTACTAAATCCCCAGCGAGCACCTTTATTCACCTGTGTTTGAAAGACACGTGGGGGAAAACCACTCCAAAAAGAGCGACCGAAGCATCGATGACAGAGACGCCCAGAGGCAGAGGACCTGGGATGGCCTCTCCCACTGGGACCCTCAGGTAGATGGAGGAGGGGTCGTGCTCCAAGGCCCCGCTGCCTGATGCACTGTTGGGCTGCAGCTGAGAACACACACATGACGCTCAATGAGTCAATACCGTTTTCAAAATGTTAAATATGTGACATGTTTTAAGACCAGGAAGATCAAAAGGACCACAGAGCATATTAAAATGAAAGAAGAAATAGATCTATACTATAAAGCAGCTCTGTTTATGTACAAAACTTAGACGTCTATGACATGTTAGTCCCATATGAACCAACTCGGACTCACAGGGCCTCCTGCTGGTGTCCAGAGTCCGAACAAACATGGGGAGGCAGCATTTCAGATTTATGCAACTAAAATCTGGAAGTCTTTCAGAAAATGACAGGCTTCTACCCTAACAATTTTCAAATCCAGGTTAAAAAATGTTTTTGTTTAGCTGTGCATAAAGTGGAGGATTTTTATGTACTGTGTTTATTTAGGGATTATATTTGAATGCCTCATTTTAAAGTTTTTTTGAGTTACCTCGTGTATGAACTATACTATACAAATACAATTGCCACACCTTGATATCTTAAAACAAATATGACAAAGTTTTAGGGAAATTCTATATTTTATGTTCCCTAAATAGGCATATGTTATTGCTAGGGCTGTCAAAATTATCGCGTTAACGCACGTTAATAAAAACGCATGCCCATGCGTCCCATAATAACACTCAGAATGCCGCGGACACATGCGTGTGTAAGATGGGGACGGAGCAGGTAGACCCTCTGGGAATTCAAGTTTTGAAAGAATACACGCGTGACCGCGGGGCACTTGTTGTTTCCTGTATGAACTCTGCATGAGGAGCTGCGGGCGCGACAGCGCTCTGGACAGTTCCCACTTCCAGCGGCTGTGATCACGACGAACGGCGCTGCGTAATGGGATCATATCCAAGACCACGCACAGAACTATGACAGAACTATTCTCTAGTGTGCGTACGTGTCTTTGCGTAACCCATGCACACAATATGTACAGCGCTGAAGCTGGACTGCGGAGCCTCAGTCTCCTCTGTGTCTTCTCCCGAAGCGCACTCGCTAAATTAAAGCTGAGGTACCTAATTTTTCTTTCGACTACCAGTTCATGTTAGTTGTGCCAAAAAAGTAATGGTGTGAGCAAATCAAACAGATTTAATGACATTCTGCATTTCAGACTGTTTTGAAATGTCCCTCATCTGTAACAAACAATGGTTTTGGTCTGAGTCTAAACAGAAAGACAGAATGTTAATAATGTTAATTCCATTTTATATGGATTTATTGTTATAACAAATACAGTACATATGTTCACTAAGCTGTCATTTATCTTTCCATTCAAACAACCATTTACAGAAAAATATGGCACAATTTTGCCAATAGTTTGAAATGCGATTAATTACGATTAATTAATTTTTAAGCTGTAATTAACTTGATTTAAAAAAATTAATCGTTTGACAGCCCTAGTTATTGCACTAGTTACCAAAAGGCAGTCAACTCAAGCACCAAGGTTAACAGCCATTTATAAATCCCAAAATATCCCCAGCACTTCCCCGCCCACAACGTTCACGTGACGCTGCAGTTACCTGGTCCTCGATAGACTTGTGGTCGGTCTCTTGAAGCCACGAGCCCATGAGCACGCTGTCGTCATAGTGACAGAGAGAGCGAAGAAGAGAGGTGGTGGTGTTTGCCGAGTTGTCCGTCAGCGTGAACTCAGCCACCAGCTCGCGAAGCAAAGCATTAAAGCTGCCTACACATGGAAAACACAACAGTTACATTAAATGACTTCGCTGTAAACAAAGAATTATTATAACTGTAAGTGATTAATGATGAAAATATAGCCGATAACTTGTTGTTTGTTTATCATTGTTGTATAAAAATATTAAGTGCAAAATCTTAAGCGCACTGATGTCATTACTTGGCATTGATCCCTGACAAACCTGCACAGCAAAAATTAATGTCATACTGCAAAATGTTTTTTTTTAATGCAAATATTGTTCTTCGTAATGCAAATGTGGTGCTCTATGGACTTGCAAAAACAACCCACAACATTATGAAAAAGTTTCCATAAGGTTAGGGTTACGCTCTCATGTTCAAACAGAGTTATTACCTTCATATGTTTTGGGAGGCAGCAGAGCCAGGATGTCGTACAGTCTGAGCCTCACCATCGCTGCACTGGCCTTGAGATGAGCCCCATGAACTTTGATAATTGAAGGAACGCTGACAATTAAAACAATAAATATAGGCATAAGATTTGGTGAGAGCGATTAGATGAGAAAAACTGGACAGACTTTACACTCACTGGGCCATCATGGTCATTGCACATTCGATAGGAGTCATTAGGCGGCGAATCACATCCTCCGTCAGCAGCTCAGGGCAGTGAGCTACAAAACTGCGCATTGCTGGAATAAAGAACATCTATATCATTAAAAGAGAGATGGGAGTTGAGCTTTCCTGAAACAACAGAAGGATATCATACCATTCTTCAACTTTGCTTTTTTGGAAACGCCGCAAACAATCCAAGGTTTATCATTTAATGCAGTGGTAATATTAGGGTTGTGTCATCATTAACAGTGGGTCACAAGCCTTTCCTGGACTAACTTTTTAAAATATGCATCTAAACACACAGATGTGCCTTTGATTTAAGAAGGTAATATTATGAAATGTGTATATGGTTAATTTACTTGAAATACCAGCACCATTGACAGATCTTTTGATATTAGTTACTTAGGGCTAAACTTTTGTTCACGGTTGTGTTTACAGTGCCCCAGGATTGTCTTGTAGATTTACTGATGAGAGGGTCCTGTCAGCAGGGACCTTCCAAACAATTGATCCTATTGCATCCTAGACCCCGCTGTGATGGAAAGAAACAGCACTCTGCGGCACTTTTAACTCAAAAGACAAAATATACTTAAAAAATGTTTTTGTTCCATTTACTTGAGACGAGTCTTAGTTATGTTCATAATTTTACCTCTATAGTGTTATCCAATGCTTACATTATAATAATACATTATCATAACATTCAAAATATACAGTATTTTATATTTTTATCAAACAAAATCTTGATGCTGGATCTTGACATTGTTCCAATTGAGAACCACTGATTTAATATACATTTCTGGTGCATCTATTGTACGTAAAAACCGTTTAACTACATAATAACCAATAATGCAGGACATGCAAGTTTAAGATACATGCAAGTATGTCAGTAATTCATATAACAGCTTTGTGCTTCTTACCGCACAAAGCCCCAGCGCGGCCCTCAAGAGTGACCTGCCAGGTGAAGGCGTCTCCTCTGGCCTTTTCAGCCTCCAGCTCTTTCTGAGAGCGAGGGAACACGTTTCTCCACAGAAGCAGCATCTTGGGAAGGTGATATCGCACAAGAGCCGGACCTGAGCAAAGACATGGTTATCACACTGGCTCTTCTATTATTACAGAAGCAAGGTTCGTCATTATATTCGCTTTCAATCATAACATGCAAGCAACAATAAAGGGTTGTTACTTCACTAAACCTTTATTTGGTCGTGTACAAATACCTTTTTCACATTTTGATTTATTTTTACGGTAGCATAAATGGCTCTAAATTACCGAGGGTCATGAGGGCTCCGAGCAGCAGCCATCCTGCTTGAGTGCGCTGCAGCGACAGCCGGCTGTTCTGAGCCGCAGAGCGCAAAAGGTCTTCTGCTATGCTCACCACCAACTAAACACAGAGAGAAGGAATGATATAATGATGATATTATGAGGGATCTCACTGCCTGATAACAATACACTCCAAAACAGATTTAAATTGTTGCAAATACTTTTTACAATATACAGTAAATTGCATGAATGTTGATTCATGTAACAGAACAACAAGAAGGGACCTGCTTGATGACTTGATGAAAAATTACTTTGAAACATGATAATAATATGGCAGGTTTGTGTATCTAATCATGAAGTAAGTAAGTATAGTACAGCGTCTGGGAAACCCATCTCCAGATGTTGATGCTTGGTTTGGTCAGGGCTACCAGAGCTGGAGGATTTAACCTACTGTACGTGTTAGGGGGAAACCGGAACACCCGAAGGAAACCCAGAATTTGGAAAAACATTTGGACATTTCTACAAAAAACTGGTGATTTCCCATAAGGTTGGCATCAGCATCTGTCCTCCAACTGAATTCCAGAACACGAATGCAAACTATTGCTAAAATGTTTTCCAGCTCTACTCCAAATATGTTTCTCCCATTGTGTTTTTCTGTAATTTCTGATGAGAAAGTGACCTAATTTATGCTATTTGAGGGTAGTACAAACCTTCCCCTTGGAGTGGGGGATGCCGAGAGGACACTGGTGCACGCCCCCGAGCAGTGCGGCCATGGCGAAGCTGTATCCACTCACGGCTTCAGGGGAGCTCTTCAGGTTGTTGATCCTCTCTGCACAGCGGTCCAGCAGAGGGGTCAGCTGATAGGGCAACGCCACAGCCACACAGCGAAGGCACCAGGCAGCTGCCAGTCGAGCCGCCATGCTGGGGTGAAGCAGCACTGAAGTCACTGTCTCCAATAGCCCTGAGGAACATTTTAATAGTTAGTTGGATACCATATTTTTTAGGTTTTGAGTTGCACTCTTTTCAGTTTGGCTGCGGGTGTGACTTAGGCTCGGGTCTGACTTTCGTATCTAAATGCATGCAAGTGTAACAACAATTTTGTCGACCAGTATCTGCTTCTTCTTTTAAGTTAAAATCTTCTAACACTCTCTGGTGCGTCACACTCCAGAGCGACTCGTACTACAAAAAATAGGGTCTGTATTTAATCACATTTAGCAAGTGGACAAGTACACACAGCTTAACTCACAGTATATTATGAAATGCTCACATCGACTAAATGTTAAACTTAGTCAACTATAATATAATATTACTGTTCATAAACTGAACCCAATTCCCCAGGCTGGACTTGTGGACAGCATCCCCAGTCCCTTTCCCGGAAGGTCTTAAGTGGACTTGAACTCTATCTGCATCATGTACATCCAAGTCTATCTGTCCACCCAAGGGAGTGGATCTGGACAGAGGCTCTTCCTTTATCAAAGAGGGGGTACACAGACAGGGGATGTTCCAGGAAATGTATACATCTGCTAAATTCCTGGGAATTAATGAATTAATCTGTCTTTTTTCATCATTGAGTCTACTATTGTCAAAACAACATGTTTTTCCGTCAGTCGAGACCACTGCAGCTGTGACTTTGAGATGCACAAAAAAGTATCGATTTGATTGGGGAAACGTTTTTCTAGGAAAGAAAGAGCCACATAGTGTTCTCTTAGTTGTCCTCCTACCTATTGATGGCTCTTGAATGAGCGGAGAGGATGTAGCACTGAGGCTCTGGACCAGGCTGCCCAGCTCCTTCAGCGCACACACCATCACGTGTTGACTGGCAGAGACATCGGCTGCTCCAGCTTTATTCTCTCCTGTCAGATCATTCACTACCGCCTCTGCAAAATTCAAAAAGGATCATAAACAACTTAAAAAAATATTTGCTATTTTAAAAAAATTATTTTGAATTTATTTTTGACAACTTCAGCAATAGTAGATAAGGTGGCCTGAACAGAAACTTCATGAAATTAAGAGAATTAAACTATAATTTGAGTACAAGCCACATTAGTCTCTTACTGCTGTAAGTATAAAGTATGATTCCAAACATTTAGCTATAGATCCAGAGCTACAAGAAATATGAAAAGGAAAGGAAAATTCTAAACAATTATTTTCAGACCTCTGAATGAGAAAAATAAGACACACCAATATAGACTTTAAACATACATAGCAACCAATTAGCACAAGTTTCTAAATCCATCTAAGAATACATTACATATTATTGAAGGTTACAAAGCAAATCAGAGTAAGATTCACCATTATGCATGTGAGTGATGAACATTATCATGTGACCTCAAACATAGTGATAGTAGCTAGAATTGTGTATGTAAATAACCAGGGAATTAACACATATACATGGTAAAAAGCTTTGAAAAGTACATTTTGTAGGTTATGTCCCCTTTAAATTGTTTACACTTATTCAAACAAAACAAAAGCTAACATGAGTCATATGGACAATGATGAATGTAGTCAAATGAAAGGTGTAAATGAAAAGGTGTAAGTGTAAATGAGAAGAAAAGTGAAAAACTCCTTGACCCTGCAGGCTGAAGAGAAAACCCAGAAGCCAGAAGCAGCACACACACAATGCAATTTTGAAGGAGGATTGATTTCGAAATGCAAATGATAATGGATGAATACTTACTCTGTAACACTTTGAACCGAGACACATCCCCCCCATCCTCCTTACCCACAGCCCTCATCTGCTTGCTGATGGCTTGGCATAGTTCTTTGCCTGCAGCGATTTGGGCTTTTTCCCCGAGCAGGCCGCCCAGGGTGGCCCGCAGCATAAAGGACACACAGCGGCGCGAGTAAACGGCCTCTACATGAGTCTGTGTGGCGCGAGGATGAGACACCAGGTCCAAAACATGGGACAGGAAAGTGGCAAAGTTTCGCTCGAGCCATTGACCGCCCAGTGTAGTGACAAAGACAACATAAGCCTGTGGAGGAATGCATACAACATACATTAATACATTGCTAATATTGTGATGATTCAAAGAACATCCAGATGACTTTTAGATATAATAAAATACATTTGATAATGATTTATAATAATAATATTGATGCCTAATACTTTTAATGTCTTCCTGAAGTTCGTTTGATGAAGATTATATTTGAGAAAGTAACTTAACTAGAACACCCCCCATTAGATAAAGTAAGTAAGTAAGTAAGTAATATTTTTTTATATAGCGCCTTTCACAGACCTTACACAATTGTAGCCCTTTCTCTCCCACTCCACACAGAGAGAGCAGGGGTCGCCAGTACAGGAGGCGCATGCCAGATCTATTGTACATGTTTTTAGTAGTAGGGGAAACAGGAGCACCCCGAGGAAACCATCGCAGACACGGGGAGAACGTGCAAACTCCACTAAGAAAGGCCCCGTTCCGACCGGGATTTGAATCCAGGACCTTCTTGCTGAGAATCCACTCAGCCCATTAAGTGGGACAGATTGAGGAGGCTGCAGCAATGCCACAATCACCAGCCAAGAGGACTGAACCAGCTTTCACCCAGGTGTTCAGGGCTACTAGTCCCTCAAACATGTACATTTATAATAATCCACAATGATTGTTTGAAAGTTCTACAAAAGTCCTGGTGCTGGTCAAAGCTTACGATCCATGGTCACAGCCCGATATCGGATGACTGCTCCAAACATAAACCATGCAGATCTTTCATACACATCAGGTAAAATTTAATCAGAAAATGTAGTATACAGCGGGGGTTACGTAAAAAAATAACCCGTGACAGTTACAATCTTCAAGCTTTTTTGTTTTAAGGCTGTAAAACCCATTTCCTCGAGTCTGGTGTGATCTGACTTGATTGGAATGAAAACCTGCAGCCACACCGGCCCGCACTGGCCCTTTGAGGACCGTTTTGAGCACCACTGTGTCCCTAACTTTTTAGACTGAGTGGTGTATGTATAGCAGATTGTAAATAAACAGCAAAAACCTCAAATACTGTATGCTTCAGGAAGTTCCTCACCTGTGTGACCCCAACTCGCACTTCCCGGCTCACTGAGGCCCCCTTTAGCATCTCTCCACCACTTTTCAGGAAACCAGAACCTCCACGCAAAAAGCCAGTGGACATGAGCTCCAGCACCTCCTCCAGAGTGGCCCGCTTCACATTTTGGCGCATAACTTAAAGGAGAAAAACCTCAAGTCAACCTTTGGGAATAATATTTGAAATACATCGTACCCAAGAATCCATTCATTACCTGCTGCTTGTTTGGGCATTAAAGCTGTGGCCATAACCGTTCCCAGGAGTTTAGCAACAGCGACGCGGACTCCATAGTTGGATCCTTCTAGAGCTTTGAAACACAGTGTGGCCAAGCTCTCCAGCTCTGTGGTCCACATGAACACCGCCTCATTCTGAAGCTCCAACAAGCACTAAAAGGACATAATAAAGGCTATTGTTAAATGATAGTATATTTATTTCATCTACAAATGAACTGAATGTTAGATTAGGTTGGAAAATAATGTGCAAATAGACATGCATGTCATATTTTTTGTATTACTGCATTATTTCTGTGCCAGTGTTTATTGTTTAGACTGTCAAAAAAAATTAATTCAATAATTTCCAGGTTTACACAATTAAAGCTAGGGTACTTAAGATAAAATCAGACACAACATACAGCCTTTATCTTATTATTGTTTTGACATTTTGGGCTGAGGCTGAGCAAGAATGGCCATCTTTTAATAGCTTTTAACACAGAAAGGTTAATAACAGATTACCATTCTTGCATGTGACAAAGGCTAAATACATATATATAAAATACCAAATTGTATATAGTGAGGAAGTAGAATTTATTGGATAGTTATATTTGTGGTTGTTTGAAAGGTACCTCAGGTCTAATAGTTATTCTTAGCTTCTTAGAGTTTTCTAGCATATACAGTCCATATTGGTTGAGATATTGACATATTGAATCATGATTCTTATATGAGAGAGTGAGAGACTTCTGTAAAAGTAGTGGAATCACCTTTGCTACAGCACAGCGAACGGCCATGGACCTGTCTGTAAGAAGTGAGCGAGCATTTTTGTAGATATCTCTGTGACATGAGGCTGCGGCACCACCCAGTCCATTCAACACCTTCCGCAAACTGAGCAGGATCTCCCCTCTGCCCTGGGACTATCATGAACAGAGAAAATTAGGAGTCAAGGAGATTCCCATGTTGAGATGATATTGAAGATAAACCATACCTCTGCGCTCTTTAAAGCCTTTAGGAGATTGTTGATTGTATCTGGGAATGAGCTCCCAAGCATTCGGCCCATTTTCTCATAAAAGGCACCAACACATGCCACTGCAGCACTATAGAAAAACAAAAAAAACCATTAAAAGACATGGGATTAAAAGACAACAGCTATACAGATTTACATGAATTTACATTATCTAACACAAAATAGTAAATTCTTGGACAATTATTTTAAAAAATCACATTCTTATGTATAGCTAAATCAAAGCGTCACAGGATAATAAAGAAGATGATCATATACACTTAATCCCCCTTTTAACCATGAAACATCCTTCTGCAGATTAAAAAACAGATTAACGACTGCTGCTGCTGATGCCCTTGCATATCCTTAGGCAAAACCAGACCAAGCAAATGTTAAAAATATAAAAACATGCTCTTACAGCTTTGTAGGCAGGTACGCAGGTGTGTCATCCTTGCTTTTGATAATCTCGTTGCATTTATCCAGAGTCTGGAAAACAGTGAAGGTGTCCCCAATGCTGTAAAGTGTTGCTAAGTTTTTGGCCAGTAGTTTTCTGGTTGGAGGTCCAGGTGCACTGCTTATAAGCCCAGTAAGCTGCTCCACTAACTTCTTCTGCTTCTCCTTCACATCAGTCTGAAACAAAATCAACCAAATGATAGCATTACTTACTATTCACATGTTACTACGCATCAATATCTAAGTCTGACCTTATTAGCAGCTACAAGGACTTTATCCAGGAAACGTAGCCATTCGAATATGAAGACTGGTCTCTTAGCTTCCGTTATCTGAGCCAGAGCTTCTTCGTTCAGCAGCAGACTGTGGGCCAGCTCCATGACGAGGGCCTGAGATCAGAGCCTTGTCCTGAGGATTCTAAAATTAAGCAAATAAATATATTATTATAATTTATTTTTATATTTCAAATATAATCATTTTCAATAGATCCACAGTCAATTATCTAAATTAAAAGAGTGGTAAAGAGATAAGGCTTGCAATTGGCCCAAAATATGGGCGATATACTGATATTGTAATGTATTTTGACAAACAAATTTAAAACAACTTTTTTGCTAATTGGACTAATTACAATATAACAAAGAAATCCTGTTCCAGTAAGCCATTTCACATATGCAAAAATAATTGACTCATAATGGTATCATATTACAACAACAACAACAAAAATTGCATACAAGAAAAATACTCAGGACCAAGGCTTTGACTAATCCCTGTAGGACTGAGAGCTTACACAAATTTACTCAGGACCAAAAACATATTGTCCCATCAATTATTAAACACTGATATCTGACTGAAGCAATTCTTCCAATTCTGCAATCAAGAGGGCATAAATGCCGAAAATGATCTTTTCGAATACGTAAACATTTAATTCTATTTAAAAATCGAGTAAAATATCGTACATTATGATGAAAAGAAGGGAGGGGTTGTCACTTCAAGATAATATATTCTTGGCATGTCTCCAGCCTCCATGACATTGATTGCAAGATTGCATTTATAACTTGAATATATTATTCCGAGACAGCATGGGCATAGATCAAACCTCCCGTTTGCTGCATTCGTGTGTTCTATTTGTGTTTATAGTTGCCTGTATCCAGCTGATTATGAGGATGGCGTTAGCACAGGGCGAAGCTAGCTACTTCCTGTCAAAGCAAACTGCATTTCGCACAATCACAACCTTGAACACGCGTGCTGTACCGGCCCTACTATAATGTCAGCGATGTTCGGTTAATAACACTGTATATGTATAAACTAGACTCAGAAATGTGTGTCTTACCTGCGCTTCTGTGAATAAGGATGAATGACGACAAGCCAACATGGGTGTCACAGCAAATGTCACCGGAACGAAGCAGAAAAGTCAAATCAATCACAGAACGAATATTTAAAACATAATTTTGCGCCTCAACATAGACCGTAATTATATGTGTCATTACCCAGTGTCTCTCTGATAAAATGGCTAAAACACATACTATTTGTTAAAAGTAGCGTGACACTATGAAGGAACTCCTATCCACTATCAATGTTTCTACCCGGAAGATATAGTAGGGCACGCACATACACATAACAAGCATCTATGTAGGAATCATTATCACAACATTTAAAAAATATTTCACTTTTCTTCATTATTCATTTGCTGGCGGAAAATGTCGGATGAGGAAGATGATTACATGTCTGACGCATTTCTCACCAAAATGTAATTGATGATGTTTCTGATCTACAGTTAGCATTGATGACATGTATTTAACTTGCTATGCTGGGTCTGATTTCTAATGGATAAGATGTGTTCATTACTATGTCTAAATATATTATTTTTGTGTGTTTGCAGTCAAGATGTGAAACCTGGCGTCAGCATGGTGAGAAGAGTTAAAGAAACCATAAAAAAGGAGGCTGAACATAAGGAGAAAAATATAAAAAATCGACAGAAATCCTTCAAAGAACAGGAGAAAGAAAGTCGCGAAGCAGCGTTGCAGAGCAGCATCAGCAATGAAAACAAAGGATTTGCACTCCTGCAGAAAATGGGTTATAAAGCTGGGCAAGGACTGGGCAAACAGGGCAAGTTACTGAATGCACATTTGATTCAAGACGTCCATTATAACTATTGTATATAATCCTATAGGTGCTGGCAGAGTTGAACCTATTCCCTTAAATATCAAAGTAGGTGAGTAACATTCTCCTGGGTAATGTGTATGATTCACTGTGTGTATTGTAGCAGTTCGCAAAACTATGTGTTTTGTATTAATCAGTGTTCTGTAAAATGAATGCATCAGCTGGTATGACAAGTTAAGTACTAATTGGGGTCAGAACAGTAATTAAATAAAGTGACAATAATTATGTACAACAAAAGTGACAAGTGTCAATTGGAAACAGTGTCAATAGTAGTGCAGGTGTGAAAACCTGCACTACTATTGACACTGTTTCCAATTGACACTTGTCACTTTTGTTGTACATAATTATTGTCACTTTATTGTACATATATCCTGCATGTAACATGTTTGCACATTTCCTCCCTTTGCACAATCTGAGTGTCTCTATCCATGCCAAATGTGACATGTAAATTTCTCCTCTGTGAGATAAATAAAGCAATCTTATCTTATCTTATCTTATTACTGTAAGGATGTGATTATCAATTGTTGATGACAAAAGGCCAGTGGATGTAGAATTTGATGCCACTCAGACATCCAACAAGTTTAAGCAGAATTGTTTGATTAAAATAATTAAAATGCAGAGCACCTTTTAGTATGTCCTCTGTTCAACAAACAGATTTATGACTGAATTAGCTGACAACTGTTTTAAATAATCAATTTGTTGCAATTAATTGATTACCTTGTTACAGTATTATAAAAATCAAAACATTTTTACCCCAAATAAATTAAATAGGCTGGTAGAATGTAAAAGCATAGTGAATTTTGTGCCCTACTAGATTCATAATATGCAACCTAATATATTAGTGTATGATGACAGACAGAGGTGGCATTGGAATGGAAGAAATGAAGAAACGAAAAGCTGAGGAAGAGCTGGAACATTACAGACAGAAAGTACGAGCTAAACAACAGAATGAGAGCAAATCAATGGAAGATTTCAGGTAATGTGTAGGAGTAACTTTCTAGTAACTCATATTTCTGAGTAATGTGGATATATTATCTTGAATGAATTTGCACTATTCAGATCAAGGGTTAGAACCGAAAGAGAGGAGCGCAAGATAGAAGGAGATCTCAGAAGAAGTCAGCGTTCCTGTGAGCAGCTTGACAGTCAAAAGGTTGGTATGACAGTGAGAAAGTCTGACTGATAATACCCTGTAAATTTAACTCATGTATTCATTATATTTTGTATGTTTCAGGGCATTAGTGAACCCAGAGAAGACTGGTACTGGCCAAAAACTGAAGCAGAGGATGAAGCAGAGCCTGAAGCAGAGGATGAAGTTGTTAACAAAGAGGATGAAGAAGATGAGGCTGTTGAATTAACTGTTCGTATCAACTGTGCTGTGCTTTTGCATATATTGCATACTTTTTTGCATATATTCTATACTGTATGTGATAACTTAAGATGTATTTCCATTGCAGCCGTTTGATAAACTGCACATTTTGACATCATATTTGAGAGGGAGACACTTTTACTGCCTCTGGTGTGGGACGACATACAATGGTGAGAATATAAACTGAGAATTACCAGTACATTGCAGACACAAGTACAGTTCAAAGATTTTCAAAATGGCAGCTTTATTACTGCTTCAAATCAATGGACTGGTATCTGCTCAATTGCGGATATTTTGCGACTTACCTTCCAATAACTTCCATGTTCTTTTGTACAGATGAAGATGACCTCAGTTCAAATTGTCCAGGAGATACAGCTGCTGACCATGAATAAAAATATGTTGTATGTGAAGCGTGTAAAATGTGCATCCCTTACATTTGATGCAATTTTATGTTAAAGGTCTTTTTATTATGCTCTTTTATGTTTTTCCTTTTCCCATAGAAAATACACCATTTTAGATTCACTCATTTGGTTATAAAATAGAAGCCTGATTGTGTGTCTCTTCAGCATCCGACTTTTGTAAATATCTTAAGCTATGCTGTTTTTGTGTGTCTTTATTAGTGTTATTATATACATTGGGAAGTTGGAGGTAAACAATTTAATAATGTTTAGAACACATTTTTTTTTTTTTTTTTTTTAAATAAAGTGTCATCGTATCCTATGGTTTATGATTTTTGACTACATCTCCCACAATGCTTTGGACTGATAGTCTCCAAAATGCAAAAACGCAATACATTAAAATATGAATTAAAATAGGTGTCTTGATTGCTTGCAAAAACGCAATACATTAAAATATGAATTAAAATAGGTGTCTTGATTGCTTGCGTTCTTGTATTGGATGTAACACTTTATTTAGATTTTGCATTTGTTTTTTGTACCTTCTCCCCTCCCTTTGACGCTGTGGTGATTACGTATGCGTATTGAAACCCAAGACAGAAAGCAGAATCGAAACTTACGTTTAGTGAAGAAGGAAAAGCTTTATGCCCGGTTTAATGATATGCTAGATTAATTTTGATGTGTAATTATTTTAATAGCAAACTAGTTAATCATGGATGCAACAAACTATGTCGCAAAATTATATGAGTTATCACAAAAAATGCGTCTGGCGCTGAAGTTGGAAGATGTTGCTTCTGTGGGACCAGATCACATTAAAACGTAAGTTTCAGATAGAATTGAAATGTTTGGTGATCAGACTGTGATCTTTGGCGGGGCAGTAAGTCGCTATTTGAACCTGATGTCGACATGACATCTTGTACCAGGCACGCCTTAAGTGAACAATCGGGTTTGATATTTTACAAAACTTAATAGTTCAGTAATAACATAATTAACCAGTCCGCTGCCTTTGCCTATTATTCTAGATCCATACTTTGCCACTATCCCAAGGAAAAAGACTAACGTGGGGCTACAACAATGACATACTGTCATTTTTATATGATTTTCCTTCGTTTTATCCAGGTTTACTGTAAGGGCAGTCGTGGATGGCAAGGCCTATCCCGAAGGTGTGGGGAAGAACAAGAAAGAAGCCAGACAAATGGCTGCTAAGTATGCCCTGGAAGGTGTATTCAATGACCTGGCATCGGAATCAGTAAATATTTGTCAATATATCTGACTATAGTTATTTAAATATATCTGAGTATTTATTTGTCTTTGATATCCTTTTGCATCTGCTTTTACTCGTTTAACAGACAGAGACAGCCTCTCTCAAACCACCGCCTTCACCAATGCAATCAACAGGTATCCCCCAGGCTAATTACATGTGCTGGTTGAATCAATATGGACAGAGAAACAATGTCTTCATCAAAGCAGTGGAGTCCACTAAACTAGAACCATCTAATTCACCTCAGTAAGGAATTACATTTAAATCAAACGCTGAAATCTTGTTTTGATTGTATTTTTGCTCCTTAGATGCTGTAAATTTGTGGTAGGAGATAAGGAGTACCCAGAAGCTTACGGAACAACAAAAAAACAAGCCAGAGAAGAGGCAGCTAAGCTTGTTCACAGTGAAATAGTTGGCAGCGAATCTTCTCAAGTATTAAAGATATTTATTCTGCCAAAGTTGTGTTAAGATATATGCAGTTTTACATGTTTCTAAAATTAATCTTGGTTTGTGTTTGAGGCTGATGATAGCGCTCTCAATCAGGCGAACAATCAAAGCAAAATCAAGTGAGCACTGAAATTATTACAATTGTATATTGTGTGGTCTAAGCACTGTGTTTCCCATATTTACATATACAGAAAAAAAGTATCTACCACGATTATAAGTTGGAGAATCGATGTGGTCCTGCCCATAACCCTCGGTCAGTTCCATTGTTGCTATGTTTTAAAATCATCCATCAGTTTAGTATCTAAGACTGTAGTTTTTCCTCCCTGCAGATTTTTTTACAGGGTCATCATTGATGGAAAGGAGTATCCTGTGGCTGAAGGAAAGAGCAGTAAAGAAGCAAAGCAGAAAGCAGCTCAATTGGCCTGGTCCAGTCTGCAGGAGCAGTCAGACTGGGACAGCAAGGTATTCTCCTGAAAAGTCCTGCTTCTGTTTACACACGTTATAGCTCTGCCAAAAATTCAAACAGTTGCAATCTGAAGTTTGGTAGATCTTGATTATCGACACCTGAAAACTGGTTCTTTCGATTTAAGATGCAGGTTCTCAATCACTTACTCATTTGGCCTGAACTTTCACAGTGACTACAGTAAATTTAAAGGTGGAGTAAGCGATTTTGTTAGCTTAGCCATAGCACCAACTCGAAACCACTCCCCCCTCGCCTCTCCACCAAACCAAACATCCAGCATTTTCTTTTCTTTGTCACAACAGGATAGTGGGTGGCAAACGTGAAATTTTAATTTTCTGTTCAGCCATTTATGGTTTTAAAAAATCCGATATCTCAGGTGTGTGCACTTGCAAGAAACAGGAAGAGGGTGAAGGGGGTAAACGCATCCCATTGGTTCGTTGGGGATGAACAAATCCCGTTGGTTAATTTTCATTGGCCCGCTCCAAAATATTTTGTTTTAATTTTTGGAGACTATAGGCATCTGATCAATTCCATTACTATTTGAAAACACATGATCCCTTGACTACTTTTAGGGTTTAGGGACGTTTCCCACAATATCTAAAAAAAAAAACATCTTTAAGTTGGTCGAAATATAAATTATTATTATAAATTAAAATTGAGATTTCAATATGAGGGGAAATGTGGTTTCTTTTTTCCCATATTGTCCAGCCCTAACACTAAACCTTAAACCTGCCTTGACAATTTGTATTCAATTCATTTGTTGACATTTAAATTGACTGATTTTTTTATAATTAGTATTTACTAATTTTCTCATTAGGTCTCTGTTCGATCCTCTGAAGTCTTGACTCCTCATGTTGTTGTGAGTCCTGATGTGAAGCCCAAAATAAAGTGAGTTGTTGCTACTGGGGATTGATAAAACACACTGCAATTAAAAGGTAAATATTAAAAGTATTCATTCATGTGTTTGCTTTTAGGCTAGCAGCAAGTTTTCACAATCCTCGTAGAAATCAAAGTCTAGAGGTACACTGGTCATGACTATTATGTTATGCTTGTTTGTATTATTTTATATTATTTTTATATTTTGTTCACAAGGTTTCAAGGCCAGATTAAGCTATAAAGAAAGACATTACACCAGTTGAGGGAACACCACAACAACCAGGAAACTCAAGGTAATTAAAATACCTTTATACATGTTTAGTTTTATGTCACATTGTATTTTTTATATTATGTATATTTTACTTTTTGTTCTCAGATTTTCGTCAGATTATGACTGCATTGAGACTATTGGCAGTGGAGCCTTTGGACTGGTTTTCAAAGCAAGACAAAAACTGCTTGAGAAATATTTTGCCGTAAAGATCATTCGCTGCAAAGTGTACGTTTAATGTTTATGGGTATTTGAATATTTGTGTGAGTGGTATTTAATTAAATTTGTCAACTTGTATTTTAGGAAAGCTCTGAGAGAAGTCAAGGCTTTGTCGGATCTGAACCACGTGAATATCGTGAGGTACTACACTTGTTGGATGGAGGACACAACGTACCAGGACTTCTCCACTGACAGCGGCAGCTCCACTCAGTAAGTCTGCGTTTCAATCTGTGGTTTGGGCACCAGAGATCCAATCCTGTTCTGACAACCTCTGATGAATGAATTGGTAAGTCTCAAGACCATAGTATTGAGATCCTTGAAGTTATTGTTATCAGCTGTGACAGTATTCAGCCATTTTAACAAGTTTTAAATCATCTCCTGCATAAGATGTTATAATACATAGATATATTATTATTTATTGACATACAATCAGTTGAGAAACATGTCTGTGTTTTCTTTTTTCACCAGATCCACCGGAGACCCTCCTGAAAAGTTCCTTTACATTGAGATGGAATTATGTGACACTAAAACCCTTCGAGTCTGGATCGATGAGAAAAACACTCAAAATGTGAAGAAATCCCGTCGTGACATACGGAGACGAGAGGAGAGCCTGAAGATCGTTCAGCAGCTGATCTCTGGAGTGGAGTACATTCACTCTCAGACGCTGATCCACAGAGACCTGAAGGTGACACTAATATGACAGTGGAAGACGTGTCCCAGATCTGTATTCTGTGGAGTTACTAGAAAATAATAATTTAAAGATTAAAACACTAAGGCTGTCCCATCGCTGGCTTTGTTTCGTACGGTTACTCTGCTTTGGGATGACGTCAAATGAATTGTTAACAATGAGAGAACAAAGCAAAATACTTAGATTTGAACAAGTATAATACATGTATTTTTACTTGTGCATCACTGGTGTGCAGTAGTCGTGCTTCACAGCAACAAGGGCCGCATTGCTGTGAACGCATCATCTATCTTTACCCTATTCTGTGTTCTTCTCAAATACCTAGTAAGTAAGTAAGTAAGTCATCTTTATTTATATACCGCCTTTCACAGACCAGAGTCACAAAGCGGTTTACAATTGTTATTTTTGGGCACTTGTCCTCTCACTCCACACAGAGATGGGAGTGAGACCCAGTAGTATAGACCCCGAGTATTGCCAAAAGTATGGCCAAAACAATCCAATCTCAAATGTCATTGCTTTGTCCAAAATGGGCCAAGTAAACATGTTTCCAATTTTCATGAGTGGATCTATGGACAGGTCAAATGTGCAGTTCATTTCAAGACAGCCCTGGTGTTTGCCTCCTGTTTATATAAAGAAGAATGGACAGCTTTACCATCAAAGAGAAAACCATATAAAACAGATAAAATCATGGACTAAGTTTATTTACATAAAGTACAAACTACTGGGACAAAGCTGAATATGATACTGTTACTACATCTACACAGCTACAGTTGTACATTCAATAAACACACTCATTTATCTTCTTTTTTTAGCCGGCGAACATCTTGTTTGGCCGCGATGAAAAGGTGAAGATTGGAGACTTTGGCCTGGTCACTGCGGAGAACGATGATGAAGCAAATGTAATCGAACGAACAGTTTACAAAGGCACCCCATCATATATGGCCCCTGAGCAAGTAAGTTATCCTCAATGAATATTTATACTTTACACCACACTGGAATATGTTTGTGATAATTGACAGAGAAACAGGAAAACTGTCTATGATCGCAAAGTGGATATTTTTGCTTTGGGACTGATTTATTTCGAACTCCTTTGGAAAATAGAAACAGGACACGAACGAGCACAAGTCAGTGAATAAGTGTTCAAATGTTTTATAACTGAAGGATTTTTAGAGTTTGTATCAAAATATGTTTTTATTATGTTTAGATTTGGTCTGAACTCAGGGTCCAGACACTTCCTGAGCGTTTCAGTCACTATTTTAAAAAAGAGGTAGGTCATGGTTCACTGTCCATAACAAAGAAGACAGTTTCTTCAAAATGTGCAAAAGTCTTGTTATAAAACCTAATTTTTCTCAAACCAGGGACAGATAGTAAAGTCCATGCTGTCGGAGCAGCCGCAGGATCGACCTGAAGCTGCAGGAGTGAAGGCTGAGCTGGAGGAATGTGCCCTGTCACTTATTCAGATAAAAGACATGCGAACAGTTTGATTAGTGTGAGCTTCAAAATCAACATCGACTCTTCTTTTAATGACTGGAATGATGCTCGACATGAACTGTAATGTTTTATATGATAATGATCTCAACGTGATGTTTATTGAATGATTGTAATTGGTGTAACTAAACTTATGAATCATATGAATATGAGTGAATGTGAAATCATGTATTATTATCACATTAAAATCAACTTGTAGAAACTTTTCTTCACTTTTACTATTATCATCAAGAACTGCCTCCATTTAGTATCTTCTTCTCACTTCTGTTGTCATATTGGTTGTCAAAGCCTGTGTCATATCTCATCAACAGACACTGAGGGACTGCTGGGAATATGGTAAGCCCCAGAGAGATCATTTTGGGAAAGTTGGGGACCAGATGGCTTATGGTATTTATGATCTTCAGATTAGTTCTGCTTTAGTGTTCCCTGAAATACCCCCATGGAAGTTGGCGTGCCCAGGAGTAGATTGGTACCTGCTGGACTTGAAGAATAAGGAAAAAGGGAGGGTTGATCTGGTTGCAGCTTTTGAGTACCACGTATCTCAACTCTACTCAAGTCATATTCACATCTTTACGGATGGGTCCAGTAAAAAGGGTCCAGAGTCCAGAATCTGGGGTTACAGGATTTGGAATAGCTGTGCCAGGAAAAGGAGTTGGTATTATTAGATGTACATCTAATGGGTTTACACAGTGGAGATGGTTGCTATATTAGTGGCCTTAAGGTGGGCAGAGCAGGCTAAAAAGAGCAGGGTTTTAATATGTTCAGCGTCTGTGCTTAATATTTTGTATGAGATTCTAATGACAGTTACTAGAATTCGTCAGCAAGGGAACAGGGTGCAGTTTTTGTGGGTACCAGCACATTATGGCATTCAAGGTAATGAAAAAGTGGACAGACTGGCAAAGGGTGCACTGAATAAGACTAGGGTAGAGATGAGTGTGAAAAGTAGTAAGAGCGAAGCGAAGAGTGTGGTGTGGAAACGAATAAATCAGGAATGGCAGAAACGTTGGGAGACAGGGACCTCCGGAAGGCATTTTTATCACATACAGAAAGAGGTGAGCGATGGCAGAAGGCAGGGGGGCATCGGAGGGAAGAAATGGTCATGACTAGGCTTAGATTGGGGCATTGTGCGCTGAATAAAACACTTTTGGGAATCATGAGACGGGGCTCTGTGAGGGATGTGAAGAGCAGGAGGAGTTTGTAGAGCATGTGCTGTTGCATTGCAGGGGATATGGTGAGTGCAGGGAGGTAATGAAACAGAGGCTTAAGTAACTGGAAGTTAAGGAATTTAATTTAAAGAGTGTATTGGAGGGAGTGTGCAGGTGAGGGCATTAGTGTCGTTGAAGAAGAAAAAGTCATATCTCTGGATGCGAGACCTGTAGTCCATCAAGCTCATATATGCTACATTCCATTTCGGAAACGCAGGCGACTTATGTGGCGAACGCAGCCCAAAACATTATTATTTGACATTTAGATTGAGACATTGTTGATGTAAGTCTGACAACGGTATGAATTATATTGATTTGATGTTGCATTTCCAAAGATCTACAGTCGACGAGGGCAAAGATTCTCGAAACATCTTGCTGCAGGATGCGACCGCGGTAAAGTGGGCCGCATCTTTCACCTCCGAAGTAAAACGGCCCGCATCGAGAGAAAAACAGTGCGTGTTTTGTTGACTACTTACGGTAATAGCGGAACAGCCTTTCGGAGTCACCTTTTCTCCTCGAACAGAAAGCGCGCTGAGGAGACTCGTTTTTGAGAATAAACCCATATTTGGAAAGCATTTAATTTAGTCAAAAAGTGAAATTTTCAGCAGCTGTCCATTTTTACCGTAAAGACTTGTGTGGCTTATTCCACTGGGTTCATGACCTCGATATAGCTGCCTTCAACGCGGTGCCTACAACCACACACCTTTACTGTGGAAATGTTGGGTAAAATTGAGACTAAGTACACTTTAGTGCAAAATACACAAAACTGTAAAAACGTTCCCGCTTTTGATCTACTGTAACTATTTACTGTAAAAAGGTGTGTGACTCATTTCAATGGATTCATGTCCTCATTATTATGTTCTACCACTGTGCCAAAGACCAGAAACTTTTACTGTAGACATTTGGAGAAATATGGAGTTAAAGTAGCCATTTTGGTCCAAAGTAGCCAAAAAATGGTCAAAACATGTCATTTTTGATCTACTGTAACTTTTTACTGTAAAAAGGTGTGCGACTAATTTCACTGGATTCATGACCTCATGATTGCCCTCTACCACTGTACCAAAGACAAGAAACTTTTACTGTAGAAATATTGAGAAATATTGATTTAAAGTAGCCATTTTGGTCCAAAATAGCCTAAAAATTGTCAAAACATTTCACTTTTGATCTACTGTAACTTCTTACTGTAAAAAGGTGTGTCCCTAATTTCACTGGATTCATGACCTCATGATTGCCTTCTACCACTGTACCAAAGACCAGGAACTTTTACTGTAGAAATATTGAGAAATATGGAGTTAAAATAGCCATTTTGGTCCAAAATAGCCTAAAAATTGTCAAAACATGTCACTTTTGATCTACTGTAACTTTTTACTGTAAAAAGGTGTGCGACTAATTTCACTGGATTCATGACCTCATGATTACCCTCTACCACTGTACCAAAGACCAGAAACCTTTACTTTGGAAATTTGGAGAAATATTGATTTAAAGTAGCCATTTTGGTCCAAAATAGCCTAAAAATAGTCAAAACATGTCACATTTGATCTACTGTAACTTTTTACTGTAAAAAGGCGTGCGACTAATTTCACTGGATTCATGACCTCATGATTGCCCTCTACCACTGTACCAAAGACCAGAAACTTTTACTGTAGAAATATTGAGAAATATTGATTTAAAGTAGCCATTTTGGTCCAAAATAGCCAAAAAATGGTCAAAACATGTCATTTTTGATCTACTGTAACTTTTTACTGTAAAAAGGTGTGCGACTAATTTCACTGGATTCATGACCTCATGATTGCCCTCTACCACTGTACCAAAGACCAGAAACTTTTACTGTAGAAATATTGAGAAATATTGATTTAAACTAGCCATTTTGGTCCAAAATAGCCTAAAAATGGTCAAAACATGTCACTTTTGATCTACTGTAACTTCTTACTGTAAAAACGTGTGCGACTAATTTCACTGGATTCATGACTTCATTATTGTCCTCTACCAGAGCTGTATTTGCATTGCCGGCAGGTGCAGGCTGCCCTTTTTCACCGCTTCTGTTCACTGTCATAATGGACAGAATTTGTAGGTGCAGCCAGGGGCCGAAGGGGGTCCGGTTCGGAGACCACAGGATTTCATCTCTGCTGTTTCAGACGATGTTGTCCTGTTGGCTCCAAGGAACCAGGACCTGCAATATGCACTGTGACGGTTGCAGCCGAGTGTGAAGCGGCTGGGATGAGAATCAGCACCTCCAAATCCGAGGCCATGATGCCTGACTGGAAAAAGGTGCCTTGCCCTCTCGAGTAATGATTAATGAGTAATGATTATTTATATAGCGCATTTATATATATTAAAAAAAATTATATAGCGGAAAAAAAAGCATCTCTGCATGCGTCAGCCGGCGCAAGCTCCATTCATTTGAACGAGAGACTTAAAAAATCCACAGCGAGTAAAGTAGAGTGGTCCAAAAAAATGCACCCCCCTCAGCATTGAGACACATGTGGAACGGAGCTTTGGGCCAAGAGCCAACTTTTGGACGATCCTTTTTCGAGAGGTCTGCCAATGCTATACGTTAGCATATGCTAATTCTTATTCCGGGTCCACCCCCATCGGCCCGGGGTGGTATTGCAAGCATGTCAGCGCATCATTTTGGCCACTTTCGAGCAGGGACCCGTCCCCACTGATCAGCCCCCAATCTTCACTATCCATTAATACCTATTGAGCATGTTTTTAGTGGTAGGGGAAACCGGAGCACCCGGAGGAAACCTATGCAGACACGGGGAACATGCAAACTCCACTCAGTAAGGCACTGTTCCGACTGGGATTCGAATCCAGGACCTTCTTGCTGAGAAGCGAGAGTGCTATCCACTCAGCCACCGTGCCGCCAAAGTGGAGAGGTCCTTCCTCACGTGGAGGAGTTCAAGTATCTCGGGGTCTTGTTCACGAGTGACGGAAGGATGGAGCGTGAGATTGACAGGTGGATTGGTGCAGCGTGCGCAGTGATGCGGCCACTTTTGATTTACCGGTCAATTCTTGTTCCCTCCATCACCTCTGGTCATGAGCTTTGGATAATGACCGAAAGAACGAGATTGTAGATACAAGCGGTGGGAACCCCGGACTCAACTTAGACTTGAAAAGCGTCAGTTTTGCACTGAAAATGAATAGTGAAGCGCGTCAGGTGACGCTGAGAGGCCCGGTGACGCTGAGAGGCCCGGCGTCACTTGAAGCGCTTCAAAAGACGCGAGCATTATGCACGTCACTTGAAGCTTTTGACACGCGTAATGGTTGCGTCTCTTTTGTCAAAAAGTCCCTTAACGCCGAAGTTGAGAAAAGCTTTTGGAGCTTGACGCCGGGCTTCAACCAATCTGGAGACGAGGAGCAGCAGCAGCAGCAGCAGGGCTGTCATGTAGCTGCTGCTGCTTTTTCATTGTCATTATTGTTATTTGTAATATTATTTGTATGAATAGTAACGTTCTTAAAAAGTAAGTAACACAATCAATGTACATATGCTGTGAAGTTAAAGTAATTTATTTAGTATAAGAACAAGCTAAAGCTGGCTCAGACACAGCAGACTGAAAGACAGGCGCTCCTCCGCGGGAATCAGTGTGACTTCGGCCCCTTTTGTGTATTTTTTACCAAGGGGGGTACTTTGACTAATTATTTCTCAAAATTTCCACAATAAAAGTTACAGTAGACCAAAAGTGACATGTTTTGACAGTTTTTAGGCTATTTTGGACCAAAATGGCTACTTTAAATCAATATTTCTCAATATTTCTTCAGTAAAAGTTCCTGGTCTTTGGTACAGTGGT